AGGAGTTGAAGAATGAAACATTGAAATATTAAGCATTTCAGTGAGAGACTGTTAACCTTTATAAAAATGTTGATTCTGTAGCCAAGTTTGGATTTAATAATCTTCACATTCGACGAACATATGAAGCTCACATGACGAAAGATCAGATGAGGTATTCCCGCGAGTCTGACATTAATAGCTCTGATCTGAGGTATTAAATTCAGAACCCGCAAAGCATTACGCCGTTATGCAAAACTGGTGTTTTGCTAAAGCAGAATGAAAGAGAGCTAAATTTGGTTTATCTTCGATTACAATTTGTGTATTGCTTCTCTGTTTTGTGTGATCGGATCATCTCTGTTCCATGTTAAAAGAATCAGATTACGTTCTTTTTAGATAACAATTTCTATTGGCAGAGGTCACGCAATCCTCTTGTCGAATCTTTTAGTGTCAGCACGATGCCTCCAAATTTAATAACATTCGAAACGGCTAATACATGTGCCTTCGTCGGTACACATCACAGTGGCGTTGCTGATGACGCACGAAGAAGATCAAACTTTTAGGATTAGGTTAGTGCACACGGAGCCTGTTCCAATTCCTCTGTGACAAATGCGCCAAAAATGTACAATTGCCTTTTAGCATCACTTGGTGCTCCTTCCTTCCACGACTTGCCCCCCTATTTATCGCGATTTGGTTTAAAGCAACGAGTTGATTTGCCATGGGTATAAGGATATCGTCAAAAAAACCAAAAACCAACGCGCGAGTCTCTGCTGTTCTACAAATCTGCTTCTCAAATCAGGAGGAATTTTCTGTGGTGAAAGACTTTAAATGGCAGAGAGCTTCAGAGAACTGATAAAATTATCTAAGTGAAATTATTCTCTTCTTTTATTCCCTCATTGTGCTTTGGCATCTTGACTTTTCTGCACTTAGGACGTTGAATTGGGGCAGGGGCTGGGAACATTGAACTACATTTTCAGTTGCTATATCTTTGCCTTATTTAAGGTATTAGCACCTTCTTCTTTATGAATTCAGTAAATTCTTCACGTCCTTCTTTGCTTTTGCATGTCCCTGTTTAGGATTTTCTATTCTTTGTCTTTTGTCTGATATATTCTCTACAAGAAACCTAAAAAGATTACTATTTCTGAGCCTAAGGTTAAGCAGAAACGTTATGTTTGGGTATTCTTCAGAAATTATTTATGACAGTGAAAGTTTCTTTTTCGTTATTCCGAACATTGTTCGGATTTCTTTCCTTGCAGCTTTTGCCTTGTCGTTTTTTTTCAAAGTTGCTGCGGTACTAAGCGGCTTGATGGAAAAATTTAATGAATATGGTGCAGCTTGCATAATATGAATGGACATTTCAAATCGGAATCACCGGTTCTTGTTTTTGAGCAAATAGTTCTGTGAATATACCCACCTGTGCTTCGTACTGTCGGGCTCTTTCAGCATTTAAAATCTCTATTATTTTGCCATATTTTGTTTTGGCCTCTCTTTGGTACAAATAACTTTCGAAGATTGTTGTACATCAGACAAGAACCGTATTAAAAGATTTTATTTGCACCGGGCCTTAGCAAGTTTAGTTCGTCTCCAAATAAATTTCAAATAATGCAGTTCCCTTTGTATTCTACTGAATATGCTGTCTAGTGGTGATGCAGAGATGTAAAGCGATTTTCTTTGAAAAGAGGCTTGTCTTTGTTTTTTTTGAAGGTTTTACAAAATGAGCAGGTTTTAAGTTCAATGTAACATGGAAGGTCTTTATTTGAATGCTAGAGGTCTTGCCTTTTTGCACTGCTTTAAGAGGTCTTGTCCTAGCCTTCTTACTTATCACCAGCAAATATGTCATCTCTAAATTTTCAGAAAAGAGTATTAATTACCTTCAAAAAGTCATTCATCCTTATAGGTCAAGTCTATCTCCCAATTGGTACCTAAAACGTCACTTAACCCTAAAACTATAAATGTCATTAAAGGTTACCCCAAAATATTTGTTTTTCACAACAATCATCAAGTTGTCCCTAAATGTCATTTTTCATCAAATTTTGAGATTGAAGCAAAGAAGTCCTAATCATAAACATGGTAAAGGGGTTATCTTAGGGCTTAAATCCAATAACCTGACCCATGCATTTGCAACAGCTTTGTAGGCGTAAAACGTGTATTTTAAATGCAAGGCCAAAAATAATTGTTTAATTATAAAACTGTAATTAAATGCAAGGCCAAAAATTATAAAACCAGGAGAGCAACAGCCGAAATTTAGCTTTAATCGTGCTATTTGGTCATAATTGCACACGTTTAAGTTTCAGTTCCCATCAGGCCCTGTTTGATTACAATTTGAACCTTGTTGCAATCATTTCGTGACAAGCCTCAATACGATTATTCAGGCATTGTGTTTTAGCTTTGCCTATCTATAAAATGAAATTACTATTCGAATAGGTGCCATGGAAATAGCTTAGGACTCCAGGGTCGGAAACTATTTCTTTGATCCTGACCTTCATTCTAATCGCAAATAGACTCTGTTGCAGTGCACTTTTCTTGTTACTGTGGATTTCGGCACAAGAGCTATAATTTTGTTGATCTTAACGGATTAATTAATGGTGTTTTTTAAGCATTTATGAATCTCCCGACTTTCTAGGCAAATAAAGGCGATCCAAATGACCTTGACGTAGTCAGACAATCCTCGCTTATCAATTTATTCGAGCTATCGGATAATTGTGCTGTCTCACGCTGTAAACAAAGTTTCCACGTTACCTTTGAGCTCGACTTAAAATGCTACTAGTTATGACTTGCGGGTTTGTGCCATAGAAATTTCCTATGGTTGGCTCCTTGTTCTTGCTTTGGTCTATTGGTTTTCTGTTGGTTTGTCCCTGCGACGTAACAAGTATATGGTTTGGAGTTTCATATTCAAAGAGCTGCTCCTAGATTTTTTTAAGCAAGAAGCGAACTTCCTGCTCATAAGGTATATGTGTTATCTTTATACGCCATATTTTCAAGATTCATGCCTTGTATCTACTTTTCTATACAAACTAAATCCTTGAAGATCACCTGTCTAAATCACTGCTGATTCAAACGGTATATTATTAAACGTTCCCTCCCAAGTGCATTCTTTGCTACTCGATGATGCAGATGAGTTAGATGCAGGTTTGCATTCCGTGAAATTATATTGAATCTAGTAATTGCTATTATCCTGTGAATAATTTATGTTTATGATACACCTAGGGCTGTTTTTGTCAATACTCCCCCTATATTTGTAGTATTCTTGCTACGTTTGTATGATATGCAGCTAGTTACGTCGTACTTTTACACTGAACGTTGCCAGTGAAGTAACGCGTCAATCTTTACAGCCTAGGTATAATTTAGCTTTAAGACCCTCAGAGCCCATTGCTTTGACTAACGGTCACGGAACCATTTGAATTGTTTACCGGTCAAAATACTGTTAGGCCTGTTAACAGATTCTAACAATTTGATGCAAGAAGATGCTATTCAACAGGTCCTTGACACTGCATCACTCATACCGCCAGGGTCTCTTATAAAGTAGAGTGCGACCTACCTTTTTTTTATCTTACGTTGATTCATATCGGCTGTATTCACGTGTACAGTCATCATAAATAATTGACGCGTTAAATACCGGTGTGTCCAAGTGAATGGTTGTTAAACGTAATCTTAAAGTAAAGGAAAGCAATAACATTTTTGAGATTAAGCAGCTAAATTATTTGAGCAGAGATCTTCATGGCTGGCTTTGAATAAGTAGCTAAAGAAGCAATTTGGAAGCAAAGATGGCTTAGATAACCCATCGCAAAGAGTTTCAACAACTGGTGAGGGTTTTAACAAGCTTCAGTGTAAGATTTTCTTGCATGAATCCAATTTTAGGCCTGTTAAGTTATACGCCCTGTTATCATTAACCTAATATATGTCATTGAAGTCTTTTTATGCAAGACATCCTCCACAGTCATTTTCATCGTAGTAATGGTGTATGTTTTTGTCTGAGTTGATCTTACGTATATCGAGGCTTTTATAGATAACAGTTGCATTGGTCAGGTACTTTGTGGTTGTCGGTTCTATTGAGATATCTCATTTGGAACGCATTCTTCTGTTGGGTTTTGCTACTGGGCGATAACTCTTTGTTCAAGATGTTAGATATCTTGTTTTCTTGTGACAGACAAAAACGAAACTTATCGCACTTGTCTAAACTTGTCATGGTGACCTAAACTTAGAGAGCTTCCAGACAAAGAAACCGCTAAATTCAACATTAGTAAATGAAATATTCGAGTCTCCTTTATGGCATTTGAATTCCTAGAGATAAGCTCAAAGCCTGTTTGTTGTCGAGCTCAGCATATTTAACAACTGAGACATTAGGACGAAGAGATTTCAGAAGGAAAAGGTTTAATGATTTTCTTGTTTGTTTCTCAAGCCTTTTTGCCAAACCGCGTGTGCTTCTGAAAACAAAGCCAATGATATTTCTCTGTACCTCAAAGCAGCGTACGCGTTAATGGCGAGACACTGGCCCGTTGGAATATGTTATTGATTACCGATGGAGAGTATGTGTTTATTGGTGGTATGAGATGAAGTCAAGCACTTCTATAATTGATCGTGCGTGTTAATATCCCTTATCTGTTGCACCTTGCATGCCAACATGGTTTACCATATAGATATATACCGTATTTATTCGATCCAAATCTTGCGAAGCTTTCCTGCTACCTTGAAGCTGATGGCGATAATGTAGAAGCGGGGAAGAAATGGTTCTGAAAGATACTGACGATCCAATGCTAAACAATATCAGTGTTGGTTGAACTCCTAATGTCTACTCTTCGGTTTATGTATACAATAAGGTCTTTATCAGTTTCTTCGTCCGTCATCTCAAATCAAGTATCTTTTCATAGTTTTGTAGGTGGGGCCTATAATCTCGCGTAGCTTACATTTTTGTGAACCAAATTTGCTGCGGCTTACAATCGATGGCGGCTTGTAAACAAGGGCGGCTTGTAATCAAGGGCGGCTTTAATGGAATAAGTACGGTAATTTCATTTCTTATTTCCTAGGTCATGTCTCTCGGCACAGATGTCTTGCCTGAGTACAAAGTGGAATCACCCAAAATTCACCCATGGACTGTCCTTCATTACTCTCCCTTCAAAGCAGTTTGGGATTGGTTGATCCTGGTGATGGTTATGTATACAGCGATCGTCACGCCGTACATGGCGGCCTTCGTCTTGACTAGGAAGACTAAAAAGACCGTCAGCACTTCAGACACGGCGGAAGCCGCCGCCTTTAACTACAACGACCCACTAGTCATTGTTGATTACATCGTAGACGTCATGTTCATCGTTGATATCTTCATAAACTTTCGTACAACGTTTGTTGATGTAAACGAAGAGGTTGTAAGTGATCCTTGTCGGATTGCTGTGCATTACGTCAAAGGCTGGTTCCTTATCGATTTGCTTGCAGCTATTCCATTTGAGCTGTTGATAATGATAATGAATACAGACCAGGTTTGTTCTCTTTGTTTCAGCCTTGTTCTCTTTGTCTTGTGATCTAATTTCATGCAAGGTCTAGTTGCCAAGTATTCAAAAGCAGCTACTTGTTAATAAAGTACGATCAAGAACCAATTTCAAGTTATGAAAGTGTTAGGTATGAAGCCTAACATCTTGATTCTATTTCATCATCGACTCCGTCGCTACGTAGAAGTACGAGAGAGAGCTCGGTAGTTCATGCAAACCAGTAAGGGTGTTAAGAAATATCTTGACTTTGAGCTCTAGTTTCCTTTGAGGGCAACTGATTTTGACCTGTGTTTGAAGTTGGACTTGTGTTTTCATTTTAAAATCATTGTTATTAAAGATTTTTCACGCTTTTATTGAAAAAACTTGGATCACGCACTGTAAAAGATATAGAAATTTTCACAAAACTGCAAAATTCTCAAAATAATTTATGCATTTCTTCGATGAAAAAGATTTAAAAAGATGTAACTAATGAAGCTTGTAAAAATTTGGCTGGATGGAGGCGGCAAAGGCCACATTGGATCCCCTTATTGGATAATCTTTTGTAGATAAGTTGAAATATATTTAAAACTTGTGTTGATTATGATACTTTCCCATGATACTTTTGTGTGAAATTAATCGGATACTTATCATATCCTCATTTGTTTGTTTTCACGCATTGAGTTTCTCAAAGAATTATCCTTCTCCAAATGAAGGCTGTTTTTTGGCAGAGACACATGGCTCGTGATGTGAGCTGTAGATAGGCCTAGCTCCTTCAATGTGACATTAAGCCAACCTCAATACCACTTCTTAACCGATGGCAAAGAAGTGGTATTGGGAAATGGCAAATGGCAAAAAATGTTGATTCTAGTAGCCTATTCACTTTTCAGGCTGTCTGCCCCTTTTCCATGTAAGTTTGTTCATAGTTGAGAAGGACCAAATATTCTTTTAGACTGCATTATGAAAATAAGTGAATAATTGCATACAATGGCAAGAAAGTATCCATACAAAGGTAAGAACGTAAGCCTTTATACCTTGCTTCTTTTTTGCAGACAACAACGCTTATAGGCCTACTTAAAACTGCCAGACTCCTGCGCTTGGTCCGAGTAGCCAGGAAGGTGGATCGCTACTCTGAATACGGAATGGCCCTCCTGTTACTCCTAATGTTTGGTTTTGCGTTGGTGGCTCACTGGTTGGCCTGTATCTGGTATGCCATCGGGGATATGGAAAAGCCAGAATTTAAGATGAACGGTTGGCTGGCCATTCTAGCCAGGGATACCAACATGCCTTATAATACTTCTGACCCGCTAAGTGGACCAGACCTGAAGACAAAATACATCACAGCCCTTTATTTTACTCTCAGTAGTTTGACGAGTGTCGGTTTCGGCAACATATCGCCTAACACAAATGGAGAGAAGCTGTTTACGATTGTTATCATGCTTGTTGGTGGTAAGTTTACCAATTTTGTATAAAAAACAAAGATTGTTGCAAAATAGCTAAATTTCCTGGTAATTTTAATGGTCACGGAACCAATTTCTTTGTTCGGTGGGCTACAGTATTTAAAAGCCCTTTTGCAAAAAGCCCTTAAATTGTAAACCACATGGCTGAACACCGCGAGAAAGGTAAATAAAAACAAGATAATTTCAAACATCACTACAAAACCACGCCTTGTTTTCAATGTTCTTTTGAAGAATCGTTTTGAAGGTTTTGATCCATTGGCAAGAGAATTATTAACCTCTTTGGACTTTGCCTTTTGCAGGATCGTACTTTTAATATGTTGCTTTTAAGACATGTCTTTTATTAGAGTATAGAAATGCAGCACTGGTAATGAATATTGTCATAAATATAGGGATTTTTTACAGTAGAAGATGATAAGCCAGCTTTCAAAGTCTAGTCTTTAGGCAACTAATCTATATGGCCTTCTTATGAATGTGGTAAGTTCCCACTGTCTCGTATTCAAGACAATCGTTTATGTCTACATTCAATTATTGTTATTATTCACCTTCTCTTATCTTACAGCACTGATGTACGCTGTTATATTTGGAAATGTCACCGCCATAATACAAGGCCTCTACTCAGGAATGGCTCAGTACCATGCCACAATGAGAAGAGTCCGAGAATTCATGAGATTTTATCAAATTCCTCCACAATTACGCCAGCGGCTAGAAGACTATGCGCAGTACGATTATTCGTATACGAATGGGATTGACATGAATGAGGTAGGACTCTGTCTATTAGGGGGATTATCAAAGGCAAGGGGTGGGCAAAGGGATATCTAGATTATTTATAAAGGTTCTTTGCTATAGTCTCCAGAATTTAGTTGGTTCTCATATACTTTATCTTGGCACACTTATTTTGCAATCAACAAGATAATGCCATTGAATAATATTTACGAAAACTTTACAATTCTTTCCTCTTCATTCAGGTTCTCAAACGGTTTCCAGAGGGACTGCAGGCTGATATTTGCTTGCATTTGAACCGTCACTTGCTATCAACAAACCCATTGTTCAGGTCGGCAAGTCCAGGATGCCTCAGAACGTTGTCACTGAAGCTTAAAACAACACATTGCCCTCCTGGAGACTATATCATCCATTATGGAGATGAAATAAAGAATTTGTATTGGATTGGGAGGGGCACAGTAGAAGTTATTCAGAATGATACAATCACTGCTATTCTTGGTAAGATGTTTTCACTTTTTTACTGCAACATTTGTTTTTTGTTTGTTTTTAAAGCTTGTAAAAAATTAAATATCAAACTCTCCATTTTCTTCATCCTATATTATTTCATCTATCGTTTTCCTCACAATAGCAGCATTTCCAAATCCATGAATTCTGTCAAGTTTAAGGAGCAGGTTTGATACATTTTGATTTTGGAAAAGACGGATTTGCAAGAACAGATATTTTGCATCAACTCAGTTTCAACATTTCTTTTGACCTTTGCTTGGACTTTTCTTCCGAACTATTGAATTATGTTCGCTAGTCGCATGAGAATGCCTTCCCATAACAATTTAGGTGTAGTCAAGTGAAGAATTTGTTTTCATAGGCAAAGGAGACGTATTTGGAGAGAATTTTAGCATGGTTGCTAACAGACCGATGGGAAAATCAAGAGCAAGCGTGCGTGCACTTACGTATTGTGATCTTCACGCTATAGGGCGAGATGATTGCTTGTATATTTTGAGAGCATATCCAGATTTCAGGAAGAGCTTTGGGGAGGATCTAAAGACAACGTTTGATCTTAGAGACCCACAGGTACATTTTCCATTTGCTCAATCTGTGATAAAGATAGCTAAATTGATTTAGAAAGTTTCATTTTTGGATTCGTTGTTTTATTGCTCCTTCACAGTTTGCTTCTTCGTCGAACTGCGCCTTATCCTGCTGTTAGGACAATGGCCACAGTAAAATTACTGTCATGAAATATTTTTTCGGAACTTATTTTTGTGTGTGTTTTCGGGCACTATTTTATCCATAATTCGTCACTAAATTTTCAATAAGCGTCAATATTTTGTCAATAATTATTGTTTTATAGATCTAGGCTTTGTTATCGATAAATTTTTCTAAAATTGCCATAAAATTGCTCACAGTTTATCCCTAAATTTTGGAACACAGCAGCGCATTTTAGGAATATTCAACCCTAATGTTTATGAATATGTATCAAAAGTTGCAAAGCAAGTTAAAACTGTGTTCTAAACAAGCGTATTATACGTGTCATTTTTTTCTAAGAAAAAGTTAAATTTGAAATGATATCTGAAGTCTGAGGTGTAGGGACTCCATTCTCGGTTTTGCGGTCACTAGTGCCCAGTTCTCTTGGGCCTATGGTTACGAACATGAGGAGCTAAGTTTGCGACCTTCAATACATGATACCAAGTTCCAAGCCTTCTTGGAACACTATAATATCAAAATTCAGAAGCCCTTAACATAGAGTCCATATAAAACTTTTTGATGAAGTCATCTTTGATGTTTTGTCAGTTTCAAATTATGGTAAATTTTAGTATTTACTTAAGAATCTAGTTTACTCTTCCTAACAAATGTTGATAAGTTATTGCACTTGGTCAAAACAAATTGGTTAATTTTTGAAAGAAGGATATCAAAGATGAAAATTTATTTACTTTTCGTTGCAAGGTGAATTAAGAATATTGCCAGCAGTGTAAATATTGGTCTCGTTGTCTTCAATAAAAAATTTATTTTTTGTTTGGCGAAGGCTGGCCGTGCATTGTTGCTTTTAGATATTGCTGTATATTTTGCAGTATGTCAGATTATTGTGTTACAACTTTTCTGGATTGTAATAACTAATTTTATAAATATTCAAAATAAGAAAACGGCTTGTCTTAAAATCACCATGCCTTTTCTTACCATTTCTAATCAATTTTCCAATTGAATATTTTCAAAATTCATTGACAGAGATGTTACTATTTCCGTTCAAGTTATGAAGAAAATGTCACCTCCTTGACTTTAATGTTTCACTTCTATTTAAAAGTTTGTTTATTTTGTTGATAGCTGGAACAAGCTGACTTGGAGAGTTCCATGTTCGATATCCCTGGTGCAGCACGACTGGCAGATGTTGTTTTTCAGAGTCCAGAATTAATACAAAAAAGACAATATGACCCTTGTTACCCTGTTGTCAAAGTTGATGTTGACAAATACGGAGGCAAGGGGTACGAGGAAGAGATCGATAACAGTGATAATGATGATCATCATAATCGAAAAGTGTCAGTACATGAAAACGAGTCGCAGCACAGATTTAATACAGACTGCTGTGAATGTAATATTCATCTAAGAAGGGACATTGATAGGCTGAAGACACAAATCACGAGGTTAGATCAACAAATGACCAACAACATGGAACAGATTGTGGCGCTGTTAGAAAGAAGTGTTAGCCAAAGGACATCGGAAAGAAAAACTGGCTATTTATTGGCCCAGAGCTCTTCACATAACGGAACAGGCTAAGATTTTATGATTATAGATACTTCATAGTTCCATTACAACTTCGATGCCTTGAATTCCAAATGATCGGTTGTGCATTGAAATGTGCGATTGAAATGTGGAAATCTACTCCAAAAGTCACTTGGAGTAGAAACAAAATCTCAGACAAAACCAGTCAAGCAAAAATGGCTGTCGTTCTTGGCAGAGTTGTGTGTCATTCAAGAAGGCATGTATTTAGACCCACTATTGTCAAACTTACGGCATACTTGTCAGGAATTTTGTAGCATGGATTCCAAACCAGTACCAAAAAATTCCTCATTGGCAACGTTTTGGTTTAAACGTTGGCAAATCTGATGCAATTTCACGTCGAGCAAATGTTTACCACGAAGATTGCATTATACGCCGGTCACCCTGCATATCAGTGACTTGTAGTAGCAGAAAGATTCGTACGATGTATTTCAGCTTTATTATTATCAAGTAAAACGAGATTATTGTAAGCAACTTTCCCTAAAGAGTCCCCTATGCCCCAGATATAGAAATTCTATAAAAATTATAAAAGTTACCCATAAAGCCTGTATACAGTAGAGATAAATAAGAGCGGATTTCCGACAGCTAACACTCAGATTTTTGGCAGAGATTACACAAAAACGATATAGAATGCAGTTGAGCTCATTCTGTTTACTACATTCTCTTGTGTAAAATCATGATTAAAATCAGGGTAGTTTATTAGAAGGGATGTGTCTTTTTTCTATCAATGCTTTGATATCTAATTTTTTGGGATGTTCTGTATTTGGCTCATTTGCGAACAAAACAACTTTTCCGGTACGGGAATATTAGAAATCTTCATTCATAATTTTTCATTCCAAGTATGCACCCAACATGGCTGCTGCAAGCATATAAAGTTTCATCAATGGTACTGTATTGTTCAAAGGAAAATGATTTCCTTCGAAAAGCGTCTTTCGATTTTTGTGAGTTAATAAACGTTTTCGCTCTGGAACGTGGCATAAAACCCCTCCGTCTTGGTGAGTAACATATCTACTTGAAATTGTTCGTTTGTAACGCTTTCTTTCTAAATATGGCTGGTCATTCGTTTTGATTGAAATTGGATCATAACAAAAATGAAATTATTTGAAAATTAATAATAATAGCTGGAATGCATAAATTCCTGATTAAATTGTTATTCGATGAAAATATTTCAGGAGAAAGTTCTTCTATATTTAACCTTTAATTTTTAGGTTAACTTGAGAGAATTTTTCTAATATCTCCCGGCGTTTAATGCCGCGATTTATTAGAAGCAGATGTTTTAACTGTCACCAATTTCGCAATACTAACGCCAGGTCTTCATCTGTGACAGAAATTAATGTAAAAAATACTTTTTATGATTGCGTTTTCCCAATTAATATTTTAGTAACACTGTAGCATTCCTCTGCTTCAAAAAAGTATTTATTGTGTAATATATTTGACTAATTTGTAAATAGTGGAGTTGATTTTACGTTACGTGCCTTAATATATTACGCAAAAAATGAACTTTATGTTAAATGCTTTTTCCTTTCATATAGATCTCACAGTTGACTTAAAGAATGGGCCTAATAAAAGTTATGGTTGAGCTTTTATGTCTGAAGCCTTCCTGTTGTTTGCAATTAAAAAAAATGTGAATGCATGGAGATGTGTTTGAATTTGGTGCCCATTCGATTAAAAATAAAATTTCTTAACGGTTACAAAGGTAGGCTGAGGGAAAGTTGTCTTAACAACTCCAACCTCATTTGATCTGAAAGCCATTGTCTATCGGCTTGTATTTGTAAAACAAGCTTTATCAAATGGTAATTAGTGCTCAGAGCTTTCTCTGTGGAGGCAAAATAAAAATTACCACTAAGTCCAATGAAGAGTTCTAAAGCACATCAATCAATGCCTGCCTATAAATTGTCTGTAGTTACAGTCATGACGCATCCCCTCCAAATGAAATTGCAAAACAAAGGATTTTTACTCAATGGCATATGGGCCCAACAATATTGGATACAGAGAAGGAGGCTGAGGGGGCTAATTTCACCTTTATTTTGTGAAGTGACCAAATTCTACTTCTTTCAGAGTTTGCGACAAACCTCTTTGTTTTCTCTCAAGAGGGTTGTTGCAGATTTTTGATAATTTCCTGTGCAGTATTCGAATTTGGCCCATCCACAAATATGATACCTGATTAAATTTGTAAATGAATTTCACACATTTGTAAAAGTGAAGTTATCTCTTACATCAAAATTCAAAATGAATTTCTTTATTTTACCTTGCTATATTGAATACAGCATTTAATGGGAAATTTTTTTGCATTCCTTTTTCTTTTGTGGCATAATTTACCGGAAAAACTTTTTCAAATCATTTGATTTTCTGAGAAAGTATATTTTTGTCGATAGCAAAAGTGGGGATTTTTTTCTTTCTATCCAAATCCTTACAACTAAAGGAGGTCGCATCCCAACGAAACAAATAAACCTATGAAAAGATGCTTGTGAGTGGCCGAGTGGCCAAAATATAGAAAATTTTCTGATTTGCTAAACTAAATGTTTATTTTGCTTTGCTGATTTTTCGCTCGTTCGTCTTCCAAACAAAATATAGTTCACCAGCTATAGTTTAAACGTCAGGAAGATATGGATACGGTAGAGACGGTGACAAATTTCAAATTGACTCTGGTATATTTTCTTTATTTGCACAACATGCTTTTCGAAATTGAATTTGAAATCGGGAGAACAGGAGATGAACTCCAAAATCGGGAGACTCCCGCCTAAATCTCACCCCAGATATCTGGAGCAGCCACGTAGCTGCAGGGGGGGCACGGGGGCCCCCAAATGAAAATTTTGACAACAGCTTGCCCCCTCTGGCTACAGTTTTTCCAAATGATATTTTGTCCAATATATCTGTTTGTTATATATCTGTTTTCTTGTTTTAAAGCCTGTCCCCCTCAGGTATGGCTCTTGCTTGAGTTTGCCCCCCCCCCCTTAGCTGACACCTACAACTACGTGATTGATCTAGAGACTTTGAACCTTTGGCTCAACGAACCCCGGCCTTGGGCCTTGTATCAAAGGCGTTAAATTCATTGCATATTTGGGCCTATGGCGTTTATTTTATCAAGTCATACAAAAGCTATTGAATTAGTTTGTTTCTTTCAACCAATCAGGTAAGAGCTGGAAGTAAATGAAGCAGCAAGGGTCGGGTCAGGTTCTCTTTTCGGTGTTCAAACAGTAGAGAGTGCATAAAAAGTTGAGAGTTCCCTAAACATTGAAGATGGCCGAATCCGACAGCAAAAAAGTCAGAACTGTGGTGCTCCCTATAGACAATAGTGAACACAGCGAAAGAGCCTTCCATTGTGAGTTGCACTTTCTTTTTATCGTGGATGTTTTGGCCGAGAGGTCATAGCGCAAAGTTCATGACGAATATGGCCTAGTCAGCCATGTGGGTTTGAGTTTATCGTTTGCAAGGTCTAGAGATTTGTAGCTCATGATTTCCAGGTAAATGGCTATCAAATGCTCGAAAGATACTGTTTGCGTTGGTAGTTTGTGAAAAATTGGTTCCTTCGTTCAGAGTGCTAGATGGTATTGTTGTCCTCCTTTTTATCGTGCCACTAAATAACGACGAAATGGCAAGTTTGAAATGAAAGTACAACAACAATTTATCATTCATTGCTTTGTTATTTGCAAAATCCATATTCTGTGTCGCTAATTTCAGTAGAATAAGGGGTTATTTGGCCAAATTTGTGCCATCCAGCCGAATGTTGCTTAAAAAATTTTTCTGCAGGTTATGCTGCACCTTTCTTTAGCTCTGACACGCACACCTTTCAGTTACTTTGGCACCTAAGACCTGTTTTTTTGTTAATATTGCTAATGCTAATAACTAACGAGCGTATTATAGTGATATCCCATTGAGTTTCTGCAAGTGTTTTTTTTGCTTTGTGTTAATCATTAACACAATGGAGCTTATATTGACTTTCTGCGAGGGGAAATTTTGAGAAGCCACTTTTTGGGAAAAAGTTCTGGGTATTGCAAACAAAAGCTTAAATATAATATTTCAAAGACAAAGTCAGCACCTTTCTTTCCATATCTGGCTCATCATTTAATTGGCACCTGAAAGCTGTACATACCAACTGTGAAATTTGGACAGAGGTGTCCTTTGAAAAAGTGTAAGGCAAAGACTAAAAGCCTAATGCAAAAACAATTCATTTCAATAGTAAGAGGGTTCGAGACTCTTGAAATATCTCCTTTTTAACCAGACTGGAATCAAGGGGGCATATTGACAGATACAAAGATAAGAGCAAACAAAAATTGCTATTGTATGATGTGTATGGCATATGATTTCATACTTTTCTATAGATTGGTAGAAAATGTTTATTTATTGATCTACTTAGCCGCATTATTTGTATTTGTTTATTGAGCTACTTAGCTGCATATTTTGTAGGGTATGTTGATGTCGATATGAAAGATGGGGACAAGATGTTTTTTGCACACTTCTTTGTGCCACCTCCATTGCCAGCCATGTCATTATATCGTAAGTCTGACCTTTTTTGTTGTGTATTTTTCAGGGTATCTAAGTATTGGGAGCAGACCTGATGACAAAGTGGTTCTAGCTTACTTTTTTGTGCCACCCCCATTACCTGCAATGTCGTTATATCGTAAGTTGTTAAAATAAATGTTTTAATTCATAAATTCTTAATTCAGATTGCTCAAAGCTTTAATATTTACAAAATCATGTGAATTTTGTAATTCATTTTTCATTCATTTCTTTCTTCAGCTTTGAATTTGAAAGTTTGATTTTGATAGCCTCAGCATGGATTTTATTTCCTGGATTTCATTATATTTCCTGAAACACCTGAAGCATGGATTTTTATTAAACCATCACAAGTAAATAAAGCACTGTTTAAACTAAAGTAGTCAATTTGAATTTAATAAACCCAGGTAAAAACTTTTGTTCTGTAAACTACCCTGGTTGAGCCTTGGATAAGTTAATCCAGCTTTTGGGGCTGGTTGAAACCTGTTCTAGGTTTTTCAAAGTAAAATGTTAATTTGATTCCAGGCTTGGTTTGTTTTCTTTTGTACAAACAGCCAATCTTTTACCCCTTATAAAGCAAACTAAACTAAACCCACTTTTTCTACTACACTACTCCTTTGATTTGGTAAAGGGTAAAGCCTGCACTATTCGACCTGTTTTTTGGGAAGATAAGAATTATCATCAATTTATACATATAAATTATTTTTTTCAAAGCAGTACCTTGTTTTTCTAGTAATTTTTTTAAATCCCATAATTTTTTTGCTTCTTTAAAAATCGAAATTGTGTAATTTGTGCATAAATAAACATTAGAATAGTTCATTTGTATTTGAGCATTAATAAATCTTGCAAAAATACAGTAAAATTCTGGAATGTTACCGTATCAATTTGGAACACCTTTCACTTTACTTTCATCTTGCAAATAATGGTTCTCTTCCAGTTTTACTGGCCAAATTATAGTTTTATTGCTAGATAGGTTTTTCACCAGCTAAATTTGTTTACAAAGTAAACTGCCAGTTTAGAGTGTAGCAATATTTCAGTATGTATGAATGAGCATGGTATTCATAACTTTTTGAACGATGTTGAAAGAGTGGACAATTGCTTATGATAATACCTTGTCTGGCCCTATCCATTTTTGTATTTTTCAAACTATTTTTGAACATTTAATGCAAACATAAACACCATTTCTGATCTCAGATGCTGCTGTCAAAGCCACAGACGAGTACCACGAATCATTGCAACACCATCTAGATAATGCAAAGAAGTTGATGAAGAAGTTTGAAGAAAAATGTGAAAAAGCTGGGGTGAGTTTAAACTTTTTATGAAAGTTTCAGGTTGGGGGCATTTTAAATATCTTGAAAAAACCGGAATTTTGTACAATGGTAAATCTAAAGTATGGTGCACGGAATCCTGACCCTAGTAGTATAGACCCTAAAACAAGTGGTAATGGCCTTTTTGATTGTGAAATGTTTCATCTAAATTTGAAAGGCAAATAAAAGTAATTCAGTTTGCTATGTTTCATTCAGCTATTTTGTGCCATTTTTGAATCAGTTACCTTGAAATGAAAAAAAACTCACTTAATTCTCAGGATGCCAACTTATTGTTGAATGTAGCATGCGATTTTCATTTATCTATAAAACAATTTTTATATAATGTTTTATTGGGAATACAGTTGATTGGTAGCTGCAAAATGGTATGCATCATTTTGGCTATTTCAGTTATGCTGTGAATCACTTTAAAACTTCTTTAGAATTATGTTTGTGTGTTTGTTGCAGGTGAAGTATGAAACTCATCTTGAATCATGCCAGGACAGCATTGGAGCTGACATTATCAAGGTATCAAAGCATGTTAATGCAGACTTTATTGTCATTGGGTCCAGAGGTCTTAGCCAAGTGCGCAGGACAATTCTTGGCAGTGTCAGCGAATATGTTGTACACCATAGTAGGATTCCAGTCATAATTGTTCCACCAGAGCAACCTATCAACCCTTTCTAAAGACAAATATTTCTGTATCATCAGCTGAAAGTTGGCTTTTCTAGAACAAAATTTGAACAAGTGTGGATTGTAAAAGTTTTTAATTGTAATGTTTCTCTCTTCTTAATTTACTCTTAGTGTGTATTAAAATCTTTTTATATTAAATTTCTAACATGCAATAACTCCTCTTTGGTAATGAAAGATATAATTTTTTGTAAACAAACCGAGGACAGCTCACCTACATAGGTAGTCGCAACACCCTTGACTTGTCATCTAAGTTGGTACCTTTGCAACTTAACTATAATATTCTAAAATTATTTTTAAAATCAAACAAATCATACCAAGGCTTGTTGAATTAATAGAACTTACAACCACCCATAGCAAATAATATCTTAGCAACAGTGTGTAATATAAAAAAGGAAAATCATCCTTTGCGTAAATGTGAACTGTTGAATTATCATACTAACAACCTCTTTGTCCGGCACTGCAAGATTTGTACCCCAGGCAGGTTTATCTACTGTAGCTTCAGTACAGACATTAAGCCAAAAATGGGCTCCCTATTCTGTTTTCTTTCAAAAAGGTTTATCACATATGATACTCATTAACAATTATGTTTACTGGTGTAATTTTAGTCTTGCTTCATAATGAAATTTTAGCTTTAATATAAATTTTTTTGCTTGATATTGTCTTATCAAAATTTTATTCTACACATGATGACTTTGCCATTTTTTCAAAGGCTTTTCTTCAAGTGATAGAACAAATGGCAGATGGATTCCATTATTTGATTTTTCCATTGTTGGGAAGTGTATCGGGTGGTGACCATTTTTAATGTGTCAGTTTTTAGGAGCTTCTCTTCATTGTAAGGTGTCTGTTGTTGGTTGGCATAGGTCATTGGGAGGTTTATGTTGTTTATTGCAAGGTGTCCCTTAATAGAGTCTCTATTGAATTCATCGTTTTTGCAAAAAAAGTAGACTGAGCTCTTCAAGTCTTACTATTTGAAGATGAAACTTTCATAGATGAAAATTTAGAAATAAAGTGTCAGCTGTCAATGAACTTGGATATGATCTTTTTGGAGAAAACATTTTAAAAGGCAGTGTATCTCACCTTTCAATGGTTTACCAAAACAAAGGAAACTATTTCAGTGAGTATTCATTTCATGACAAAGAATGTCTCTTACTTGCTATTGGTCAGTTTTACTGATTTGTCATGCTTGACTAATCTTAAGGACACTTGAAAGTCAACAAAGAAATGCCAACGAAGGTGCAACACACTGCCTATCACACAGAGAGTTCAAAAATATAGTAAGAAAACAACCCTTAGAGCAGATATCTAGCATTTGATAATGGTTGGCTTTGAAATATAGGTAAATGTAATATTGTCTTTCTCTTTCGAAAATTTAGTCTCAGAGAACTTAACTACATTGCAAATGCACCAACCAAATGCAAGAAAATTTTAAAGGTATGGGGCTTTTCTTAAAGATTACATGTTTTGTGCTGCCAATTCATGTTATTAAGCTGGTACAAGACTTTGTCAAACTCTTATGCAATGATGCAAGTCTTTATAGCAGAAAATATTTGGTTACAGTTGATAAGAACAACTCTGTTCTCTGTTAGTGTTGCTTAGAGAACGAATTACTTCAATCATTGGAAATGTCAGCTACAAATTTGTTACTGGTACAAATTTTGACAAAAATGTGTTTCAACCTGCATCATGCTATGTTCCTTATTTAGATGACTTTTTACTGATAAAACAGCTCCTAAAATGTATCTTCTTTTTATATGACTCTGAAAACATAGAAAATAGTGCATAGAAAATAGCAATTAAACTTGAAAAAATCTAATCTTTCTTGGTAAATCTGAAAAAATTGACACCTACTCCAATTTTGTTATTGACATAATCTAACAATGTTATAATGCAGTCAATCTTGGGGAATGAATACCAGATTATTCCATTTCAAGAGAGGCGTCTACTGCAGAAAATTCTTCAAAAAATGCCTACGAAATAAAAATCAATTTTAGGAATAAATGGAGTTTTAATGGGCAGTGAAGTATTACAATGAGGAAAGTATTAACAACTTGGTACAAAGAGGGTTTTAACCATTCCTTGTGTCTGCTGAAAAGTAACTCTCACTTTCAAACAGTTTCAAAATAGATGTGAAATGGAATAATAAACATTGTCAGCTTCATCTCTACAGACTGAACTTTGCTCTAAACCATTCAAGAAAAACATAAATTGACAAAAAAGCAGACAAGTTGTTACCTTGTACAATGAAATTGACTGAGCAACACTACTGGTGCAACACATTTCTCGTATTGAATGCATACTCAGCATTGGACCTCCAATATCTGTTGGAAAGAAAAATTTCACTATAAAAAAATATGCAAAACATACTTTTTGCACAATAGAGATCAAGTATGGCCCAGCTACTGCCATTGGGATGATATCAAACCATAATGGTTTAACCACATTGGCCTTCATGAAGTGATATTGTATGAAGTTAGACATCTATCAGCACAAATTAAATGAAATTTTCTGGTTTGAAATTAGCCACTATATCTTAACGTTCAAGCCTAAAAGATTGAAGTATGAAACAATAAGACCTACCAACAGTTCTTAGTCCAACTTTGGCTGAAATAATAGGCCCAATAGTGCTACCACAAGGGCTGTCATTACGCACAACAACATCCTGCAATGAAATAAATAATTTCTAAATAGATGATTTTATTCCCTAGACAAACATGATTGTCCAAATCAAGCTGCCTCACAAATGGCATAAGGGGTAAAACCCAGAGCAGCAGTTTAGAATCACTCTTTTTTTAAACACTAAAGTATTTATAGCTCTCTTTCTAAAAGGGAATAAACACAATATAACAGTCTGGTTCACACTAGTATATAGCAGGGGTGGGGAATTAATTTTGAGAAACCAGGGAAAATATGACAAACTTAAACTGTGTTGAAGGGCTGAACAACGATAACTTTATTCTGCTCATTGACCAGTACATAGGATTGTTAAAATGAAAAATTATGATATCAGAACTGAGCACAAATTACATATAGTTGGCTCTGTTTCTCTATGTAACGTATAATGCAGCACTTGGTAAACAAAATCAAACTCCCTTGGAATGGTAAACGAAATAGGTAAAATAGACAGGGTTAAAAGTAATCATCAATTAAGAACTAGAGGGCATGGCTTTCAAAGATTGAAAAAGTTGCTTTGCATTGAAATAAATGTTTTAAGGTTCTGCTTTAATGAGGAAGACCAATGACATTTTGGAGTTTTGTAGTTGGATTAGTAGTGTCCATAGACTGACATGGTGGCTATAGTGCATGAGTAGAAATCAGTACCTGTAATGGAATGTCGGCTTTCTCTGCAACCACTCTCAAAAGGCTAGCTGTAACTGCTGTTGTTGCATATTTCTGATTTGAGTTGAACTTAATGACAGGTCCCTTTAAAATACAAGTGGGAATATGAAACAATCCCCCTACTCTTAAGGCAAGGTACTAAACTCAACTCAAACTCAACTCAAAACATTTCATTCACAGCAATAATTAACTACTACATTTCTATTTAATACTTGAACCACAAATAACAATTATTTTTTATAAAAAAGAAAAACTACATACAGTAGATAGTTCGAAGTTTGGTATGTTTGCTGTCGGACATATGAAAAGAACTCACAAGGAGCTATCTAGGTCATATGCCCGATTGGACGTGTATAGGTGTGGGTGATCGATTTCATTGATTTCAATGAGATCAAATGATCAAATTTTGCGGAGCTCTCAGAAACACACACGCTCGCCAGAAACACGAGACAGTCTATCAAACTACATTACTACAAACTACTACAAACTAATGTATTTTATACTATCATTTTATATCTTTTCAAATAGCATTTCTGTACCAATAACTGTACCAACATCAACAAAGAACACGATGAATTACAGCTGTAACCAAGGTTATGTGGGGTAATATCATGAAACAAGTCCAGGTCCAGTCACAAAGGATAAGAAATAAGCACTTACTCCATGAAAAGCAGGTTTATGGTTTTCCTCGTGTTTCTCACTAAAAGGAAATAAAAATTTGATGATCTAATAACTTGATAACCTTAATATTTTAAATATGCATTCAGAATCAGACAACTCCTAAAGGCCTAAAAAGGGATAGCCAGGAAAATAGATTTTTTTATAAATTGGGAAAGCATTTGAATCATTAGAAAATTTAAAAATCAAAATTGAGTAAAATGTTAAGCTCTTTCCTTTAAGAAGAAGTATTAAAAGTGGAAAAAAGAAGGGCATTTACGAGTAATTTGGATGGACTGCATGTGCTTGGTCTGCGCTGATCAGGTATGAATTTGCAATGGTTCTTTCGTACTGACTATCACCACCAATAGCTACAATGAAATGAAAGGATTCCTTGGTCTGATCATGGTCATAAGGTCTGATTAAGAGAATACGAGTGTTGATTGTAGTAATCAATTTTCCTTTTCAGCATCACAAATGATTTCTGCTAACCAGGATTTGCTTCAACATTGGAATTATCTTGCTATGCTGAGGTTCTAGACAGTGGTGTAGTTAGGAAGAGGCAGGAGGGGGCAAACACCCCCCTTAGTGACAAAAAATGTCTTTGAAATCGGGCGTTTTCTGGCGTTCATAAGAGTGTGGACCCCAGGCCTGGCCATAATACTTTTAATAGGGGATCAGTAAACAGCTCTCCTAGTAAGTTCTATGTGAGCTATTTGACAAAAAGCAGGACAATTTATTTAAAGGAGAGCAATTTGCTTTTGCGAGAAATTTAAGAGAGCAGCGTGTAGCTCCCCTCGGGCATTCAAGGAGAGCCTGGACTGGAGAGGAGCAAAAGCTATATGGCTCTCCTCCAATGGCCAGGCCTGGGACCCCCAATTTTCCTTTGCTCAACTTGCCTTTGCCCCTCAATCTTACAACCCTGGCTAGGCCAGGGGCGGATCTAGAGCAAACTTGAAGGAGGGGCAGTTGGATCCATTTCAGAATAAACAACATAACTTTGAAGTAATCCTTGAAGCAAATTAATCTATTGGTCTCAGAAACTTTTTCACCTGATTCTCATTCTTCAAAAGAGGCGCACAATTTCCAAAAAAGGGGCGCCATACTTGCTTCAACTCATCGAGGGAGGGGCAACTGCCCCTAGGGAGGGGCAACTTAAATCCGCCACTGGGTTAGGCTATGCTACTGGCTCTACAACATACCTCACAGTCTCTTCATGTAATGGCAATAGTTTATATATGTTGTAGAATTAACACATTTTGCTTTGAAGATGTTTATATTTTTAGAACAGAAAGTTTGGATCAGAAGTTCGAGAAAGTTGTATACTTAGATTTGGATAAACAAACATCTACCCTGAAATGGTTATTAGAGTACAGGAGTTATAACTGCAAAAACATTTTGTTTAAATTTTGTGCAACTACAGTTGCTCAGGATGTTTTATCGGGATATTTTACTAACCATCAACAATCCTTCTCATGACAAGCTCTGTCAATGCTGAGCCAGCTCCTTGAGCACTTTCTGACCCGACCTAAAAATAATGGAGCATACTGTTACAAGCAAAAGACATAAGGATATAGCAAAATATCATTTATTGAAAAAGGCTAAGCATATTTATATGGAAATAGGCATATCCTTAGAAAGCTTTAGAACTGATAAATTTAGCAAACTGAGAATTGAGCAACAGAAATAAATTCTCTTACCTCTTCATTGTCATAAAAAACTACCATGCGAATGTTACTCTCTGATGCAAGTGTGTCATTCTTCAGTGATTCCAACAAGCCCTAGAAATTGTTTTTTATTGTTTATCAACAAAAACCCATTTCAATGCAATAAATTCAATATTCAAAACTGTTTTTTCATATTCTCATAAAATTTTAGAAAACAGACAACTACAAGACGATACCACAGGGAGCATGGGAATACATAGCAACCCTGTGGCCATTACATTAAACAAATTTGCTTCAAATTGGAATTACATTGTATGTTACTAATTACATAAACTGTTAACTGTTCCTTGTGCAGTTAGAAATCAATGTTAACTGACTCTAAGAATGCATGAACCTTAAAGGTTTACATTTCATTAAGTTCTGCTAATTAGCGACATCTTAAACAACTTCAACAGATGATAAGTAAATGGGCTGAGTCGGAAACATGGAAAACACAGAACACACAAAAAAATGAAATTCTGCTTTAAGCTTCTAGAATGCAAATACATGAACAAAGCAACATAGCTCTTTAAAGAATTAAATATAAGGCCTTTTTTTAAGGTGTTTCCCGCGTTTTCGATTCTTAGTGAGGGTGAAAATCGAAAATGCAGAAAACACTGAAACCTTAAACAATGAATCAAATTTGCTAATTTAATGACAAGAGAGGTATATAATGTTTTATTAAGTCTTTGATAAAGTTGAACACAGATTTTGTGGCTGCAAGAGCAACCAACGCCACTCAAAGCTGTGTTATGAATACAACATAGTTTGTTTTAAACATCTCTCCTGTTGGCACAAATCTTCCACCTTTTTCACCGGATAGACCAGAAAGGTAATTATAAAGTGTCCCTGATTTGTTTTCTTATCAAGCACAGACAAAATTGTGTAGGAAAACCCCTTGTGAAATCAGCTGCAACAGATTTCCATGTTTTTCGCATTTTTGATTTTCACCCTGGTTTAGAATCAATAACGCGGAATTCTCATTCCTTAAAAAAGGTCTTCTATTTCAATTCTTGAAAGAGATCTGTTGCTTTGTTTATGTATTTGCATTCTAGAAGCTTAAAGCACAATTTCACTTTTCCACCTTGTCCATGTTTTCTGTGTTTTCCGCGCTTTCCACTTGGCAAATTTGAGATTTTCATAAAAATGACAAACCTGAAGGCCTGTGTAAACATTGAAAAGATTATCCAATCTTGGTGAGAAAACAAATTCGTTCATAAGTCCTCCAATAACCTTTGGTTAAATGAAAATGTTTAGGAATTATTATTGGCCTGCGATAAGATTAAAAATTGTTGTGCCTCAAAGAAAAGTTCTAAAAAGCTATAGTGGTTTTCCTACAAAAAGGAATAAATTATATGTGAAATATCAGCCCAAATCTTCACAGTAATTTGGAAAAAAAGATATTTTATAAAAATTGTACAAAGGTTTTATTGCAATCAAAGCTTTTATAAATCTATTCCCATTTACCACTCAAAATATTCAAAAAACCTACAGATGGCTGCGTATCAGCAAGACAAAGTTCCATATCTAAGAGGTCTTCTTTTTTGCAGCCAAGTTTGTTGCAAATGGCATCAATAAGAACTGAATGGTGTTTTTCTGCCTGAAAAATATTGACAAAATATTACAACAATATTGTATTATATGATCATATTTACAGGCTTAAAGTTGTTCAGCAATGGGCTGTTATAAACTTAATAATTGTTGATGATATACAAAAATAATTCTTAAACCAATTTTGACAATGCTGATATTTATTAGCAAGGTGTACATTTATGCTGTTACAAAAAGAAGACAAATTTACTTGGCATTTTTGTCCATTGTTCTTGCCCGATGCTTGCTCATCAGTAGCTTTAGGCTGATTTAGCTGTGTCATTGCTGCTGTTGCAAGGACAGGCAGGCTGAAAATACAAGTGGAAAAAAATTAGAGATAACAAGAAATAACTGTCTTTGCTTTGGTACAATTTGATCTTTTTTATATATATGACATCTATATTTGGGCTAAACATTTGATAGTTTGTACTGAAAACTTTAATGGCCTATTTATTTGATATATTAAGCTCCCATGCCAAAAACCAATCCTTCTAAATGGTACACTGGCCCATTAGCAAGCAAAGCACAAGGCATAACGATATTGACATTATTGGCATTATTGATACTGACATAATGATACTCACATATGTGACTCCTTGTTTGGACCAAACTTGTCATTGATATCTCTTTGAAGATGAATGGCTAAATGTGGGACCCTGAGGATGGGTTGCTCAATGTTAACCAACTGGTGCACTAGCTTGTCACCTGTCTAGCAAAAAACAGTTAGACTTTTGTTATTTGTCACCTTCTTCAAAGAAATAAGACATTATTTTCACACTCACTGACACATCACACAAGTTTTCCATAAAATCATTTAAATCTTATAAATCTGAAAGTGGCAGAGTATTATTAACTTTCAAAACTTGAAGTATCAAGCGATACCATGTGCTGGTTAACTTACCTTGATTATAGCTCTTCCTGCCACAGTCAGATCTCTATCAAACCAAGTATTCCAAATCCCCCCACCGTAACATTCAACACCTACAGACAGAAAGCCATTGCTTTTCTTTGTTGATCTTGGTTTCACCTCAAAGGAAAATTCAAAGCTGAATGAAATTTGACCATAGTTGATTCTAAGATATTAACTCTATGATATAAGATATAATTCATAACAGCCATCTAAATGTAAATCTAAGATGTAGCAAATCTTTAATAATTTGCAGCAAGTATCCCAAATACTTTGTTTGAATGGTTAGTGTAAGTTTGAATTTCTTAGTAAACCTACCTTTAAACAAGGGCTGTCTGTGTGAGCCCCAACAATGCTAAAGCCACCTCCTGGCTGGTATTTACCACCAACAGCAAAAGCAATGATGGTCGATTGATTTCTTGTCAAAAAATACTGAAAAAGTTTTTAATTGAATATATTCACACATAGAACATAATAAGAAAGATTTTTTGAACACAAAAAGTAAGAAAAACCTCTCTCATAGTCTGGAAAACCAGATTTTTACCTGAAAGCTAACTTTACTGGACTTAACAGGTCAGACAGTCTAGACACAAAATAGCTACATGCAAGAATGTATTTGCTAGTATTAAAGCATGTGGATTGCTGCTGCTAGGTATTCACATATAAAATTAGCCTGCATGCAGACTTAACAAACAGAGAAAATTGTAAGGTCTGTGTAACGGCACAGATATTCTTGTATCCACTCATTTTACAAGACTATTGCCTTATTCAAAACTCTGTCTCTATAGCCAATAAGATATCTTTCCAAGATTTTAAGGAACAAATCATAATGGTGCCTCTTTTATCGTATGCCTTTGGGGATATCTTTGCATGCTAGTCATTTAATCAGTTTGATCATGTGAGATATATTACCATTGTTCTGTCGGTATCCTTTCGAACGGTTCTGTTGTACAAATAATCAAAATTCAAGTCAAAGGCATTGTGCCAATGATAAAAGACTGAGAAAAAAGATGATTCCCTAAAAAAATGCTGGGGAACGGGATACAATAAAATCTGCACCATTGCGCAGACCATATAATTTTCTCTATTTGCAAAGTCTGTGCACAGGCTAATATAAAATATTCACACAGCTAGCTCTCTGTCTGAGTACAAATCAATTCTGAGGCAAATCAAGAGCTTCATATTAGGTTTATAATAGGTGTTCTCTATAAATTCAAATGCACCCCCTTGTTACTGGTGTATACAAAGCAACAAAGCCAGTCAAAAGGTTTAAGGAATATGAAAATATATGTTGATGTGTACTACCTTCCCATTTACTTTAAGTTGATTTTGCTTCCAATCCAGTTTTTCACTAAGCTCAACAAATCCGGCTTCTGTCAGAGTTTTTCGACATAAATCAACAACTAAAATAGAGATATGCCAAAAACATCAATCCTTTTCTCTCCTAACATAAAATATGCTCCATTTAATCACACCTTTTCTAATTATACCCAATTAAGCCAAGTACATTATTATTTAGAATTTCTTAAGTCTATATTTGAAGCAATAAGGTGCACTTGACTACTGTGAATAAGAAATTTTTTTTAGGAACATTTCTAAGGATTTACTCTGCTAAAAGTGCTACTTACTTTTTAGACTGAACTAAAATTATCCACTAAAGGCTAAACATTCAGCAGGTGTGGATCTAGACTGGTTGCACAGGTTTAAAATAACCAGTCAAATTTCAAGAGCTAGGTTTCTCTGTAAATCTTGAATTTTTGATCTAAAATTTCAATTGCAACAATTGCTGCATTTCTCCTTGACTGACTACAGTTCTTCTGTTTACATAATGAACTGAACCTCACAAGATTCTGACAAGAGTTCCCAGCTTCCTAATTCATCTTTTTATCCAAAAGTATCAGAGGAATTCAAAATCAAGGAAATCAGTTGCCACTCGAAGCGACAGTGTGGAGTATGCTATCTATGCAACAATATTGAAACTGCCGGTTATTGTTTTCTGAAAACCTGTGAAAACCGGTGCCCATGTGTTTCCCTTATGCAAAAAAACCGATGACTAAAAAGCATATTCCATATCAATATCCATAGCTCAAAAGAGGCTTTAAAACAAAATGATACAAAATGAAATACGGATGCAAATCTGAGGTTTCATATTGAGGGACTAGACTTTCTTTCTCAGAAAAATTCATGAAGATAAGAATCGAATTTGCAAGAAGAGGATCAAAGGGCATGCTAAACCGAGTAAAATTTTGACATTTAGATAAAGTGTGGGCAAATTAATAACATTTAAAAGTTGCTACCCTCATTAGCAACTTTTAGCAATATTTATGGACCAATAACACACAGAACTGTAATGGGGTAAAGCACCCCAAAGCCGGTCAAAATTTTGGCTAGATCCACGCCTGTTCAGTTAAGTTTCTAGTAAGGCTTGCATCTTGTGGAAGACTGAAAATTTATATGAATAAATCCCAGCGGGCCCCATCATGTATCATTATATTTGATAAGGAATTTTTGCATCGAGGGTAGCTTTTTTTAAAGACTTTTAAAAATTTGTGGTCACTTACCATGGTACGGAGAGGGAGCTTGATTGATAAACTTTACAAGTCCTCTGGCAGCATTAATTGTTGCATCTTTTGATGCCTGTTGTTCAAAATAGACAAAATGAAAGGCAAGGAAGGAAGCTTTTATTTCCACATAATAAGAATCGAATTCAAAATGAAATTAGGATTCAAACCGTTTGACACCTCAAATCGATTGCAAGAATTTTATTCTACATGTCCAATAAAAGTGTATCTGCCCATATTACCTTCAAAGTGTCAGTGCCTATTAGACAATGCGCTCTAAATAACAACAGCAAAACTTACTTTGCTTTATACCATCCCCAAAGAATATGTTACAAGGTAAACACTTTGTTTTAATTCGGCCGACAGCTGTTCTTTTTTCTTTCCGGCCTGCCCAGGATAGAATTCGAGTCTTCTCGTTTAAAAAACCACTTTGATTTTGATAAAACTACAGACTAACCGTTTGATAAATCTTTGAATCTGAGTTTTGCTTCATGGTAATGAAATTGTTTTAAGGAGGAAGTAACTTGGTCTAAAAGATTTCTTGGAAAATTCGACCTTTAAAATTTTTTATCCAACCTTCTTAATCATGGGATGAATCTATTTAATTTTTGACTATAAGATATTTTAGTTAAACAAACCATATCTGCAGTAAATTGTCAATAGATGTATATTATCCAAAAATCAATCTTCTTTTGGCGTCTTTTCGGCCATTAATCAAGTCCTCGTTTTGAAAGTGTTTGATTGCGAGACTCACTTCTATGACGCATGCTCGCGACGAAAGTGGCGGGAAAGACAGAATTCAAGGAACGGCTATTTTGATTTAAAAAAACTTTTACGTCAGCTACTTGTTTTATAGATGCGAAATAGGAAACAAACTCTACCTTAATCGATTAATGTTGCTGCATTTTTAAATCAACTTTTCTCTTGCGTAGTGGAGTTGTTGCCGATAAACAAATACTGCCATGGCTAGTACTAGTAGAAAGCAATTTCTTAGTACTTTGGATGAAGAGACACCCCGTGATTTCAATGCGATAATGAGACGAAATGTAAGTTTTTACTACTACTATTTGTTAATAAAGATTTGCAAATTTTGTTCTGAAGATAAAATTATGAAAATAAAAAATGCAAGCAAGTTTTTCACATCAATTGTAAAATAAAAATAAAGTTTTGGACAAACGAAGAATGTGACTGAATACCTTGCAAGCAAAACTTACCCCGGTCCCGACTCGATTTTCTTATTTTACACATATTGCTGTAATTTTTTTAAACTTTGTTAAAAAATTGACAACTGGTTTTGTGTGTGTATTTTGTAACATTGTATTTAATTGCTTGCTTGAGTTAGTATTTTATAAATCCTATGCTATGTAGCCTACTTTAAATAAAATAATAAAAATAATTGATGATGATAATAAGATTTTATGACTTCATTTGCGCTTCACAGACTGTAAAAATTCCAGAGTTTTGATATTTGATAGTCAGTTGACAAGTGTCATGCCTGGATGCAGTAAACATAAAAGGACAGTTAGACAGTTTCTTCCAACATTCAAAATGAAATAATTGAACCAAACAATATACCAGTCTGCAGATGGCAGTTCTCAACGAGATTTTCTGTGTGAATAGTTATTTCAGCCTTTGACTATTCATATCTCAAACTTGGCATACAGTACTACACTAACCTTGCATGTGCATCTGCCATACTAGGACAATATACATAGATGTATATGAGTACAAATATATGCATATATAAATTGTCAACTTGATAAATTGAAGATAATACCTTTGAATTTATACACATTTTTAGTTTGTATTGATAAAATCACCAATAAATGTTTTCTTTTTGTGTTTAAATATCTTCAGAACAACAACAATGATGATGTATTCCACATTGGTGAGGCCCTAGAAACTTTCTCAAAAGATCAAATCACTTTAATGTGGAAACAGTTGTCAAGATTTTGTGCTTCAGCATTGCAAGAATCTAATTTTGAAGAAGAAGAAAGCCAACCAGAGGTCTGGATTGGTATTACCTTTTTGAATTTCTTTGAATATGAACATACTCTATCATCAAAAGTGACTTTTGGTACTTGCTCTATTCTAGTAGATCATTTTATATGCAGTGGCAATGTTTGTGATGCTGTACTTTTGATGATGTAGCTTTTAACCCCTTGAAACAGAACATTAGAACATCTTTTGATGTTATTAATATCTCAACCATAACATTGTGATTTAAATTCAAGGTAAATCTAAATTTCTGTAGGTTTATTTTCGTCTTCTTTTATAAAACAAACTGTACATATCAATCATAATTTCATTTTTTGTCAAAGGAGTTAGTGGAAACACTGGAAACATTGCAGAATTTGACCTCAATAGCACTCCACCAACTGTCATCCAAAAACCCAGTTATCACAAGTGATATGTTTCAAGTGGCAACTGTATTACATGGTTTGTCTTCCTCTATTTTGCCATGCTATCTTTATGTATTTTGTTGTTAGTTATCTGGTTTGTCCAGATGAACAGAAATTTTTCCACCTAGGACATCATGGCCCCCTGAAAAACAGTTCACATTGACTGATAGGGCTATCATGCCTAAATAAATAAAAATGTAAATGTAAAATGATATATGCAGCTTGCATGATTATTTTTGAGGTAATAATCTGGACAACCACTTCAGGTCCTTCAGGGCCTTATTAAAGACTTTTAGGGTCAAATTTTGATCAGCCATTCTGTATTTCACCACAAATTAACCCCCTGGCCTTATTCTTTTCACTAACCAATTGTCCAAATTCCTGATAACAACACATTGTCAAAGTTATATAGGGTTTGTTCCACTGTGTTGGCTGTAACTGCATTAAAGGTACTTGTTCACTACTATTTTTTGTAACGACAAGGGAGTTTTGTTCTCTTAAATAAAGCCAAATATATTTTTTCCCATAAAGACTACCGACAGTCATTTAACGCAAGCATTTTCTTGATGCAGTTAGTAACAGTGGCAAAGCCAGCTCTGGGGCAAGTTAAAAATAATTGGGGCTAGATCAGTTCCCTTGAGAAAAGTGTCATATGGGGTTAGCTTTTGTAAAATACCAAGAAAAGCTTTAGGTAGGCATAAAACTGTTAATAATTTGCAAAAAAATAATTTTTTCAGAATTTCTGAAGACATGTTTTGAAGAAGCCTTCTGGCTTTAGTTGCTAAATTTGGTTTTAAATTCTGAAATTCAACTTGTTTTTATGTTTACTTGTTTTCAAATCCTGACATTCAATTTATTCACATTTACTGTTTCAAGAGCTGTTTGATTCACCTTATTAAACTGTCAGATACTGAGGGAAGGTTTTTAGATAACGCATTTAGATTTTATTCTCACAACATAATATAAAATGTCTAAATTGTCTTTCTCTGAAACATGGAAAGATAAATACACTTTTTATCTTCCCCATTTCCTTACTTAGAGCTATTGTACCTACACAAGTACAAAGAGTGTTATTTTGCAAATAAAGCCATTAATGCCCACTAGCCAATGTTTGTTGAAAAAAGATTTCTTTATTATGCAATAAGTGATGTAAAAAAGCTTTCCTTACTTATTCAAAATTTCATTAAGGGGATTTGACAGAAATATTATGTTGTTGTTCATTAATGAAATGAACAATTATTGTTCATTAATGAAATAATGATCATATCAGAAATTGCCATGACAAAATGTGTTCCAGTACTCAAGGTGCTTGAACATAGGGTGAAGATAAGGGGCATATCAAACATTTTGCTATGCTGAATTTTTTATCGAAAAGCCTGCCATTGTTTTTAAGAGTTAAATGTTCCAATAATTATTAAAACAACAACAGTCATAGATATACAAAACATTTTTAGGTTTCTTTTATAAGTAACACAGGAATTTATCTTGCCATGCTACACTGCATTTCTTTTCATTTCTTTATTATTAATTTGGCAAAACAAAGTATATTCAGCAAATAGAGAGTTTTCCTCTGTGACAATCTTGCTACTCTCATCTAACACAACATCAATAGCAAAAAAAGCCATGATAAAATAAAGACTGAAAGGTTAAGACATATGTTTAAACGTTTTTATGTATTTCTCTTTATAATAGGTATTTTGTTATCCTTGCCTGAAAATGCAGCCAAGCTTCAAAATGATATATCAAAGTTGTGTGAGTATTGGTAGGTATGATATTTGATTTTCAGCTAAGCAGGTAAACATTGTCAGAAATAATTTGAAAGAAAGTTACTTGCTATTTAATGTATATAGATCTGGACTATACATATAAGATGAGTTTCTTACACAAGGATGCCTAAAATTTCTTTTTTGTGAACGACATATGATAAAATTGTTAGGCAAATCCAAATAAAATACTTTAATTTCAGAGAAAATCTGCAAGCAAGAAGTTGATGGAAGTATGAATGTGGATAAGCTCAATTTAAAAGATCAGAATTCAAACTTTATTTGAGATAAATTTAGTGTTGAGACTTTTTCGCTAAATTCTATTTAAAAAGGGTCATTAACAGTTCTGTGTAGGTTTTGATTTCATTCTTTATATCTCTAAGGTTTAATGCTGGGTTAACTGGGAAAGAAGAACTTCTCGGCAACACAATCATTTATCTTCTAGCAAGAACACATTTGCACACACCAACAGTAAGTTCAATAAACATGTTTTTGTTGATCTCCTAATAATTTTAATTCAATCTTGACAATCTTGCAAGAATTCATTTGCTATGATCATCTAGAACTGAGATAAAGGCTTATTTGAAAAGTCTTTTTAAAAAGATGAGACCAAACTTCAAAGGAAATTACAGCTTGAAAACTGTCAAAGGCATCTTCTTATCTACATTTCAAAATTGGAATAAATTTTGCATTTAATTCTATTCATTACAGCAGAAGAAAAATGTGCAATAAATATGATCTCAGTGAAAAAGTGTAACTAATTCCAAACAATTGTTATTGAAAATGATTATAACAATTATAATAAGTAATGTTTATACAAGTTAACTTGCTCAGACTAGAAATTCTGTTATCAGTCAAGAACCTGTAAAACAAATAGGATTGGATAAGAAATCAAATTTGGAGCTGTGTTGATTATGGTTTCAAATGCTTATAGAAGCAAAGTTTGTGATGAAAACACATGAGAGATTCTTTGAATGTAGATAAGAAAGCAATGGTATGATGGAAGGAAGAATGGTGACTTCAAATTTCCAATTATCCTTTATTTGCATTATGAAAGCTAACAGTTAAGAAAGTTCATGTCAGCATTTTTCAATTGTATTTATCCATTGTAGAAAGTTGATCTTGAAAGAGTCTGGGATATAAGAGAATCCCTTCAGTTGTTTGACCTTGAAGATGAAAGCTCATCTGGCTTAAAGGCTCTTATGCAGAGGTGTTTGATGCAAGCACTTTATCTTGAAACTGAACTGGTATTTTTATTTTACTTTCATTTTACATCAATTCCCTCTAAAGCATCACTAGTCCATTTTGTGATGGATCAACTGTAATAGATCATTCTCTCTTTATATACCTATTTGGAGACCATGAAATATTTAATTGCAATTGAAATTGTATCTGTTTTCCATTAACCCTGTATTAAAGTTTCTTTAAAATGATTGTAAACAGACTGAAACAATAGATAATATGGCAATTCAGGTGATGTAGCTGCGAGGGCGAGATAAATGTCATTCATTCACCTAAAAGGAGAGCATTGCCCTCATGAGTTTTTCTGGAGTAGTTTTTGGCTCAGAATTTGAATCCGGATCTTGACCAGGCTTGCAAGGTGGTGTTTCCAAGATATGTGGGTCGAAGAAGAAAATTTCATGTTTTACTGTATACCTAAATCACTTTTGTAAGGAAAATGTGAGATAGCAGTGTGAGATATCATTTAATAAAACCCAAGAGACTCAACACAACTTTTTCAGTAAGAATTACTAGAGAATTGCAAGTCATCTAAAGAGCCATCAATTATGATACTATGACAGCTAGTTAAACAGTCAAGATTTTATCTTGGTGTTTTAATATTCCCAAGCGTTTGCCCAGGCCTCAAAGGATTCAGTATTCTAACTCAATAAAGTTAAATGCTTTGGAATGTTACTTCATTGAATTGTCTTTTTTCCAAACTTGTTAGAACTCAAAACTCTATTTCTTAACACAGCAGCAAGATTTTTCTTCAGGTGGCTTGGAGTGTCAGTTTCTCTTAAACTGTCCAACCACCATCCCTCATTCTCCTTCTTTATTTCCAATTCCAAAATACTGATTTCAAAACTGTTTGCCTCTGCCTGTTGCTAGAAATGTTTATGACTGTAGTTTTTGTTGTTTTTTTAGGGAAGGAAGATTCTGGTGTACATGTTTACATTGCACCCAACTGTTGCTGAAGGGTTCCACAGCAACATCAAAAATCAGATACCATACTGTCAAATGTATGCAGATTTGTTGTGACTGAAACATTTTCTAAAATTTCATGTCAAAAAACCTTACATGCTTGAAATTCTTGATAAAAAGAATGTGTCTGTTATCAGGGTGTTGAAAGTGGCTATTGTTGAAAGTGATCTCTGCAGCTGAAATGATAAGAAATAGGATCTTGATATCAGCAAAATCATGAATCAATAATTTAGCTGTTAATTTTCTTTTTCCTTATAAGAGTGAATTTTTATAAAATTTTCCTTTAGACTTTGCTCTCGTTGATCCAATTGGTGATCAACTAGATTGATGCTGTGATAAATTGGAAGACTAGTTATTTATTCACTAAGCTATTCTACAAGTTTTTACCTATTTAAAAATCATTAGCTCCTGTTTATTAAATGGTACTTTTTATACCCTAGGGTATTTCTAGATGCATTGAGTGAAATTTACTTCAAGTCGTGGAAAGAATCATCAGGGGAATGCAAGAAGGTGTGTGCACAAAAGTGTATGGCAATCTATCAGAGTATTGATGTATTGATGGGCAATTATCTTGTAATGATGCTTTGATTTAAAAAACATGTTGGTTCTAAGTTGCATCACCCTGTTTCTGGCTTAATGCAATCATCAAAGAACTGTTGTAATTTTATGTCGTTGTACTAGATGTTATATTTTACATTTTAATAGAGTTTTTTTAGTATCAAGACAGTGCTTTGCCTAGTTTAAATTTTTTGACAGTTTTGATATGCGATAACATGAAATGCATTTTTTGTGATTTGACAAGTCAGCATACTTCATAAACATATGTTGTCAATGTCAGGTTGCATCCCTATCTTGAAGAGTTACCAACAAAACACATCATGATAGTAGATTTTTAGATAATGTAATAACCGTTGACCCTAGGGTACCCTCCTACTTTTAAATGCATTTGCTTCTTGAACTGCCTGACCCTAAGAAAAAGTAAGTTTTCTACATGTTATCACTGTACAATAAAAATTCTAAAACAGCGTATGTTTTAAGAAATACTATTGGAAATTTTCATATGACACTCTTCATAGCATAAAGTGTCAGAATGTTCCATTCTTGTAAAGACAGATTTCAGCATCAGTATTTTGTCGAATAGCCTTTATAGATTTGGCGTTTACCTTAACAGACTTTTGTGTAAATGCTGATTTTATGTTGATATTCCTTTCAGAAAATAGAAGAAGGCTGTATTCAAGATCTGATGCACTGTGCAGTTCATGCCAAGAAGGCTATTTTCGGAAGACTAGCAAGTGTATGTCTTCATAAGTCTCCAATTTGAGAAGACAGCTTTTGCATTCATAATATTTCTTCTTAAACCTGTTAAATTTTCAAGTGGACAAACAATTCTCTTTCAGTTTGATGCTCCAAATGGTAACGAATGATTTGGTTGATTTTCCTGCAATTCAGAAGGATGTCATGAAAACACAAAAAATACAATAAAAGCTATATTTAAAACTATGATTTTTCCAAACAAGAGTTAAATTTTTGCAATAGATCAATTAAGCCTCTGATGTCCCTAATTTTAGAATAGAGCAAGATACAAATAGTAATTAACAACAAAAAGGAATTTGGGGCAATTGTATTTTTTTCTGAGAGTATTAAATCTCAAACAAAAGAAAAATGGATTTTTTATTTAGATTTACATAAAACACAGCAGAGATTGAAAGATTTCTTGCAAATTACAAAAGTTGGTAGATATAAGTCAATATTGATAGTATATGATGTTTGTGATATGATAATTTGAAGATCTTGCATAAGCTTTTATATTGCTTTTTATACTTGCTACAGATGCTGAATTATTTTCACCAACAAAAGTGCCTGTTGGAAGTGGAAGAGATGCTGTATAAACTGTACCAACCTATTCTTTGGAGAGCTTTGAAGGTATGTGTAAAAGTCAATCTCTATTAGTATCACAGTCTTTTCTGCTTGTTTTTTTATTTCGTGTTTAAAGTTTTTTTTGAAGCGATGGGAAGTGCCGAATCAAGCCTTCCAGTGTATCTTGTTTCAAGAAGTGAAATTCAACAGATAACAGAAAACAGTGGAGGGGAGGGGCGAGGGGCAATTCACTCTTGCAAATAGCGTACGAGATTTCCCCTAAAACAAAAGGATTTCTGGGGATTTTCAGTTAAAACAATAACATTTTCACGAAAGGTGTACGAGATTTTCTTGGAGTGATTTGCCCCTCGGGGAGGGGGGGATTGAGTTATGCAAACGTAATTAATATTACTAGCAATCAATGCAAAAAATCTTTGAACACTGACTTCAGTTTAAAGGATGGCTTCAACAATCCCCTCTCCCCCTTTTAACAGTACTTTGGTCTGCAGCGATGTATGAGGCCCTAAGCTTGGTTTTTCAGGTAATTTGTATGATATTTCCATTAGCTACCAACGTCGTTATTGGGAAAAAGAGCAGGAAATATGCTGGTATTGGCAAAAATGAAATATAGATTTACCGTGATATACCTCAAGTGACTTTGACCAACGTTGGAGTTCATATGCTTTTTGACATGTATGTGAAAAGCGATTTGTATGGGAAATCAGTTATGTTATCTTACAGCATTTATATAATTCTGTATTTGTATAAAAATTCCTCCATGCCTCTTTCATGACCTTCGTGTACTCTTGTCATAGTTTTGCTAATATCATGGATAACACAATTATTTAAGGTTTTTTTCATCGTTACAAGTATTTTGTTTATCGATTAGCACTATGTTAATGCTAATTCTAGCAAATGTATGAAATTCTTGTCCTTACCTTAATCTAACATGTTTATATCCAATAATCAATCGTGAGTGGTTGGGCTAATAAACCAGTTGATCCTTTGGCTATAGAACGCAATGATACCGCAAAAACCAATTTTGGTCAACTTGACTTCCTATGCCAAATTATACTTAATTATAGCTTGATATGTTATGCTATTTGATGTATAGAACAGGACGGTTCTGAGTAGCTACCCCGAGTTACCACTCCGGTTCTTTTCTATACACCAAATAGCGTGTACAGCTCTGCCTAAACGGCATTGAGCACTATTAGTTTGGTGTGTTATGTTTGAAATATCCTGGTGATTCCTTAAAGCAATACACAAAGCTACCACTTCAAATCACCCTTCTTTGCAGCTTTTACATCTGCAACAGATTATTCACCATCCTCCTTCCTTCGTCTCGTAGGCTGCCAACCCACTAGTACGTGCGAATGCAGCTTCACTTCTGATTGATGCTTTCCCGTTACAAGATCCATCTGGTGGAGTGGTTGAAAATGATGGCCTTAAGCAAATGCAATTCGATGCTATTGCTGTACGTAAAAAGTAAAATTTACATTTATATGTGTTGCTGCTACACAGTCATTCAGGATTTTAAAAAATAATATCAAAATTAAAATGGAAGACATGATGACATAATTCTCTACATTCATCCTTATTTTTACGTTTAAATACCCTTAACTTACTTGGTTACAGCTTTATATCATTTAATAATGATCTAGTGTTGTATTATTCTATTACAAATACTCCTTAAAATACTTTTCATAATATTCATTGTGAATTTATGTAAACTTACGTCAAGTTAATATTTCGTAGCTAAATGTACTTGTTCATAATATTAATTTCTTATGATTATAATATACAGCTTTTCCGCAGTTTCTAGTTTGTAATTATTTTGATGTTAAGTGCGTAAGTTCTCACCTATATGGTGCCTTTTTTCCCTATATGGTGCCTTTTTTCCTTATATGGTGCCCTCTTTCCCTATATGGTGTCCTCTTTCCCTATATGGTGCCCTCTTTCCCTATATGGTGCCCTCTTTCCCTATATGGTGCCCTCTTTCCCTATATGGTGACCTCTTTCCCTATATGGTGACCTCTTTCCCTATATGGTGACCTCTTTTCTTGTTTCCAGGAATTGTTACAGGACAGTTTTCCTGCAGTGCGAGCAATAGCTGTTCTTGGGGTTTGCAAGATCTGCTACAGGTTCTGGGAATTTCTTCCGGTTGCTACAATCAAGGCATTCTGTAAAAGACTGGTAAGTGAACTTTGATAAGCAGCGCAAAAATTTCTAAGTCAATTTTTTAACGTTTTCTTGATGTTACGAAACGTGCTATTCTTACTCCCACGTTACTGGCAATCCATTGTCCTAGTATGTTCTCCGACTCCGAGGATTACTTGACGAAAAGTACTAAGGTATGCCTGTTGCTGCTGTCCATGATACGAACGTCTTCATATTTTTCTTATATCTTAGATTGAAGATCTGGCATTCGATGCATCGTCCGGCGAAGTAAGAGTAGCAGTATTCAAGGTAAATTAAATATTTACGACTATTATGCGATATTTTATACTGGTTTGTGTTACATTTTAACCATTAAAGAATTAATTGTAACCACATTTTAGTAAGAAATACACAATTAATCCAATCCATTTAAAAAATCCATTGACTGCATCAACATTTCTTATTGCAGCAAAATAACAGTAAAATGTTATTATCGAGATAGCGTAGTATCGTGGTACAGATCTCTTTTTGATCATTAATAGATTTGTTTCCATGCTAATGCAATAGCAATGAAGTCCAGCTGTTGCACATAACTTCTAGTTAGCATGAAAGCTAACGAGTCTGTTGTTTGCGAATAGTAAGAGATTCGACTTTCATTTCAAATGAATTAATTTTTTGAGAAATTTGTTATATAACTGTGCCTTTGATCATTTTTTATCTTTTTTCAGGGTTTGAAAGTATTATTGAATAACAAATTGAGCCACACGTTGCTGAAAATTTTGCTACCATGTTTACGTGACTTGATACATGACAACTCCGAGAGAGTGAGGCGAGCATTCCTTGATTTCCTTATACTTGTCAAGGGTGTTCGCAGTATTAAGGTAAGACACTTTTGTCCACCTTTTAGTATCTTTCCTTACTAAGGAGTCAAATATATAGACACATTGTATCATATAAGACTTTTATAAATATACTAGATTGCGTGTGGTACAATACAATGCTATGATAATGATAAATGTAAGTAAATTGTACAAGGAAAAAGTTGATTAATGAATAACGACGTTTCGAGCATAGCCCGTTATCAAGTGAAAATGAAAAAACAAAAACGTCGAAACGGCGTTATTCATTTATTCAATTTTTTCCTGGTACATTTTACTTACATTCATCGTTATTATAAGACTTTGATGGCGTATAAATTTTATTGTTTGTGTTGTTATGAACATAGATAGTTTTAAAAGACCTTGATAAAAATATTATTTTTTTAGCCACTTATAGTTCTGGTAATGATAGCCTATCGTTTATGATTCTGTATGTCTACAATAATTGATCTAATTTTTTACAGATGCGCATTGTTTTAGGCTAATATATTTTAGAATCTCCCTTTTAACAACATCTCAACATAAAAAATGTAAAAGATGTTGATATGTGTGTAATCAACGATATAGTATAGGCTGTTACTTGGGAAACGAAAGTGATTTTAAGAACGTCAAGTTTAGACTGAATCAATTGGCAAAACGTAATGCATTTTTCAGTATTAGGCATGATCCTACCTAAAAAGCCAGAATTTAAGACACATCTCTACGTTTTAAGAAGATAGCAAGACACAGGTTTTAGTTTTTATCCATCTATCTGATCTTATATCTGTCATTCTCGGATTCAAATAAAGATGAACTATTATAGTTCTAATTTGTCAAAAACTGTTAATGTTTTACAGCTCTTGGCGAACGCAATGTGGTTGTTTCTATTATGAAATAGTAGAATTTATGGCATCTTGATTGTCAACAGGCAAATGTAAGAATGACAGATACAATGTAGTGTACAATGACAAAAGAAGTACACTTGAAAATATCTAATGATCTTATGTTTGCATCTGTATTTTTTAATTCGTTTAATCCTGCCAACAGTTCTGGTCAATTGTGCCATTAGAGCATCTGTTTGCCAGACTCGAAGTCGAAACATCCATCAGCTGTATTAAACTGATTGTCAAACTCCTTGCGAATTCATATTTCCCTTCCAAAGCTAATCAGACTATCAAGGTAAGAAAGCTAGATCTGATTTTGAATATTATTTTACTGGTACTACAAACTGTAGTTAATATGTTGAATTTTGTATCCAAATCTTCTTGGAAGAAGCAGGAATGAATCATCTACTGTTTGCTGGCATCATCTTTAGAATTTGCCCCAATCGCCAGAATCTTGAATATTTTTTATCGCTGCTTTGAGTAGGCATGGCTATATAGAAATTAGAGCTCATGAAAGTTTATCTTTCCTCTACCCAATAAGCCAAAACTTTACTAGAAGCAACGAAAAACAAGATGTGATCGATGTATTTTATTTTGGCTCGTTTGTTTTGAATGATTTTAATCAGCGTCAGCGGCGGTGCAACCAAAAATGTATCTTAGCTTTCATCAGTTTCATCATAACAGTAATGATTTCGTTTCGTTTTAGCTTGCAAACTGTTTGGAACTAATGCAGGCCAGTAGAGCAGCGGCCAGGACGTTCTTTAGGTTTGCTCATCAGTCGACCAATATCCGAGTCTTAGGTGCTTTTTTGCGCAATTTTTTTAAATTTTATATAAGTAACAGAAACGTACTGATTTCTCACTTGATATGTATCTTTTAAAACTATCTATTTGATCATCAAAGTAGAGACTGAAATAGGTTATATTTATTTAGGTTAAAAAAATGAGTGTCTACCGTGGTACGAAAAATCCCTGTGCTTTTTATGCCTATTGATGTCATAGAAATGGTTTCAACAACAGTAACTTATCGTAAAATTTCATTTCGTAAAAGTGTTGATGTTACGATGCAAAAGTTTGCGAAACCAGTTTTAAAAACAACATTAGGTTTGGTCTTTGCATTTATCGTAAATATACAAACATTTCCCTTTGATAAAGAAACCAAAAAAAACGAACGTTATTTTCATAGGAAATTTTGTGTCCCATTATTACTGGCCAGTACACTCAGGGTAGTCCAAAGACTACTTAGTTGTCACTGCTAATGCAATGCTTTCGAAGGCGTAAAATTGTCAATAACTGTCTTGCTTTTACAGCCAATTTCATCGTTCTACTGAGCGAATGCTTGTTGGAGTGTATCAAAAATCCAGTTTTCCAACCGAACGATGAGAACAGGGCTAGAAACTTTGAAAAGGGAGCAATTTTGAGTGAAACGAGTGACGAATTGTCAATTGAAGATGGAGGGCCTGACGCCGAAGAAGACGAAATTGATTTGCGCAATCCGAAATTGACTGCATGTATGATTGAAGTGCTTACTATATCTTGGCTGAGCATCAAACAGAAATTGGACAGGGTCAGTATATATTAACGCACAGTTTTCTATCTTTAAATGCAAATTGTTGCTACATATAAGTGAAGGCTTTGATTTGCTAAGGGTAAACTGTGGATTGCTGAAGATTTACTGCGGGTAGACGATACGATCATTAATTACGTTGAGTTCTATGAAGATTTTGTCATTGTATGTACCTGCATCATGTGACGTTAACCGTTTCAAGCATAATTAACAGAATTAATGTAGAAAACTGACTCATTTTGTGATTGGATCAATTTTCCCTTTCAAGGTGTAACTGGATCATCTTTGCTTTTACAATAAATGCGTTTGTTTGTAGGGAAATCATGAAAGTTTGAAGGAAAAACTAACTGGAATTCTTAGCAGAGCAGTTCCTGATCTGATGCAAGGTTTCCAGGTTCGTCTCGTTGAGATGTGTAAAGCAACTATTTACAATTATGGTACTTTCCTGCAGAGTCATTAAAATTTTCTCATCCTCAGGAACGTAGCCAAATACTTACAAACTCTTCCTCAAGCAAAGATTGAAAGCAAGGCGTGGTCTGATTGTGATAACTAAAATTATTCTCTTTTCGTGTTTCTTCCTACTGTGCGAACGCCTTTTTTTTCTGGTTCCAGCCCTCTAGGCAGCCTTTTCACCGAGAGCATTGACCCACTTGAATGGATATTGGGGATTTTGGCATTCAGTTCAGTTTTTCCCCGTAAATTCTACTGTACACATATACTGCTCATTAGACGCGTAACTTTTGAATCAAATAATCGAAAATGGTTATAGCTTAACAATGACAAGAAATCAATAAAATAGACAGACACAACATATAAACAAGATAAACCTATTTGCGGGAAATTACGTAAATAAGGAAACGTCTGAATAGTTAAAACCGAGAAGCGAGCACCCCCTGATTGCCAGAACAAAAAGATTTGACTTAAATTTTCCTATACTACAGAAATCGCTTTAAGTTTTTTAAGATCAAGCAAAGCCAAAGAAAGTCAGATATAAACTCATTTTTACAAGATATCCTTAGCAATTTCAAGAGTTTTGTAAGATGAATTTTAGACTTTTTAATCAATTATTTTGAAGGAGAATCTCTAATTTCTACAGATAAATCATCCCATATTCTGCCCCTAGATGTCGAATAGGCGTAAGGAATGTAGCAATGGTTATAGAATTAACATTTCCAACTGTCATATGAAATAATGCGTGAATGTAAAAAAAGTTTCATTTCTTGTTAATTCAAATTTTGTTTTTGTCAATTTTCAGGATCGAGAGGCAGAAGCAGCAATAATAGTTTTGGCTTCAAGTCTGCCTAAAGAATGTACCACTGTCGTCAGGTAAATAGTCATTTTTTACTCAGTCTTTCATTATTACATCGAATGACGATATACCTCTACCTTTTCAAGAATGACGCTATAAATCATAAAGTCTGCTGTTCAAATTCCGTGTCTCTAAAATGCATCGTTGATACTTGATTTAGTTATGCCACTAAAGTATTCATTGAAAAAGGATATTTCTAACTGGGTACAGAACAGGATTTGAGAAAAACTACTAAGGAAAAATGAAGCCAGGTAGCACATTTGTTAGAGGCATGACGTACAGTGTTGCTGGTCGCGTGTTCGATACTTGCCCTTATTGTGTCACTTACATTATCTCTTGGTAGATTTTGTAGTCTCATTTCTTGTATATCCTTTTTATAGTGATATATGTCTCGATGCCTTTAATGAACTGCCCTCAAACGCTGCACCAGAAGAGTTTGGACCCATCGTACAACACCTTTGTACCACAGGGTTTGTTCCCGATGTCCTTGATCATCTATGTGGTCTTTTTCACAAATGCCTCAATCGACCAGGAAACACAGAAAAGGTAGCAACATTACATGCCATTATTATGCTAAAGTTTTTTATCTCAACTATTAAACTTCCGATTTTCCTCACTTAATCAAAGCACGATAACAAACACAAGCACCTGTCGAGCATGAAAATGATTTTCCAACACTTAGTTGAGAACCTACTCGATCTTATAACCAATGATGGACACCTGGGGGCAAGGGGGCAGTCGCCCCCAAGATTTTAGAAGGCAATGGTTTTTTTCTAGAACTGGAAAAATTGAAAATGTGACGTCATCCTATCAAAACAATAGGCTTGCCCTCCTCTCCTAATATTTGACAAAGTGTCCGCCACTTCTTATAACGTAAAAAGACAGAATTCGAATCCAAGATTTGTGAAATTATTTGTAGTGAATACTATGTGAATCCGTGGCAGTGCCTCTCATTTGTCTTTATAGCACTGCTCCATCTTTTGTAATTTATCAATAGATTCCAAGATTGCTTAATAAGGTAGTGTGAATAAGGCTTTCCTCAATACTTTTTTAGGCATCGCGCAAAAGAGGCAAAGGATCGCCATTAGAAGGACAGTCAAGCCGTCTGGCTGTTGAGATCTTGTCGTGGATTCTAGTAAGTTGTCTCGGGCCTAGCCTGGGGAACATTTATCTATAGTAGATTTGTTAAGTAGTTTATTTTTTGGCCAGCCTTTAAAAAGGCATTCACCCATACATTGCAATTTTTCTGTATTGCAGGGAATTTTACCAGAAATATTTCTCTGATATTATCCTGTTTAGTTTAAAGACTTTAATATGGTTGACGTAGGTGCGTGAAATATTTACCACTTTGCATAAACAAATTTATTATTTAGTTATCGGTCTACTGTTTTATTCAGGAACATGCGTCAACTCGTGATGCCATTCTCAAAGAGAAAGGCAAATGCGAAAAGCTCTGTGGTGTTCTAAAAATTTCAATGGTTGGTATCCGATCCACCATCATACTTAATTATTTATTTCAATTAATAGAAAGAGACTATACTGTAGAGATTCATAAGAGATCTATCTTTTTAAATTTTTAAATTTTGCATTCAAGTAATCAGTTCTTTATTATTATTTGTACTTGTTTTATATTCATGCAGTTTTATAAGCCAAACTTGTATAAAAGCATGAAGGTAACTGTATTTTGGTACCATGAGGTTTTGTATTATCGCCACCTAAGTATTACGACCTACTTAATTTCAGGTTTATTCATACACGCCTCAGTTCACTTTTTTTAAAACAATCCTTCTTTTAATGTCCTTTGCCTTCCGCCTTGTTCTCTATTCTGAATCAGTTGATTATGTCACACTTTTTAAAATGCTCACTCCTCATCTTTCTCCCACCCTCATAGACATGCCTTGAGGCGATGTTGGAAGTTAATCAAGAGAAGGCCTGTGAAGGCAATCACAACCAAGAGAAGGGAGAATTTTTGGCGCAATCTCTCAGTTTATGTTTAAGACTCTGTATACACTTGGAAGGAAAGGTATTTGTAGGCAGCAAGTTCTGCTCCCATAAAAAGAATTTCATTTCATTTCCGTTCCTTTGTATTCTGGCCTTTTGATTTTGTGAGCCATCTTTTATTGTATCTTCTTTTTTCTAATTCTAAGCTTTGTCATTATTTATTGTAATCGTACCTGTCCAATTACGCTCAAATGAGCACTAGCTTAGCTTGACTTTCTCAATTACTAACTTAAAGATCACAAACTTACCTAAACATTGTTTTTTGCTGACTTCCAGATTACTAGTTTATCTTTTAGAACACTTTTTAGGCTTCATTTTGATGTTTTTGCAGAGAGAAAATCTGTTTGAACAAGGCGTTAACGTCGTTGATGAGATGACAGAGGTTTGTAAATGGATGGATAAAGTTTTGCTGCCCGAACTTGATAAATATGGGTAAATATGTCGCAATTAATTTTTGTCAAATTCCTAACTTCATTTTTCATTCACTTCGTTGTTTTGATCTTATTACATCCGTGTTTTGCCGAAAAGTGTGAATTCAGTAGCAAAAAGTAGAAATAGGTCCTGCACCACTGTGCTGAATATGGTTTTAACTTTTTTAAGTGAAACGAGTGTTTTTTCGTATTAACATTTCTTTATATAAAAAATATGGTTTCTTCTTTCGAAGCATACAAATCCGGCTAGATGTTTGTTCACGATTTTAGATTTCCTGTGAAAAAATGCTTTTCTGTGATTTCCTGTCCCCAATGATCATATCGTCTCCGGAAAAATAATTTCTTGTGCGTTTCAGATTATTTTATGTTAAAGTAAACAGCCTTAACATATTAAAGACTTTGTTGCTCCACAAGGCTTAATCCTTGTCGCATTCATTTCAATATCTGGTCGGTGTTATAAAAAATCATTAAAAAAGAAAATGTGACCTTGAAATAAATAACTGAAGCCAGTTTTTGACCATCAAACCAAGTGCCCTTAATCAAAAGCACATTCTAGAGAAAATATTTGAAAAACTTTACAATGGCAATGCCATTTAGCTCGTCAATTAGAGATTTTTGCCTTGTCAAGTGAACAGTTAAGAACAACAAATATTTGCGCAGCTGGTAAGAGATTTTAATCTGTTCATGGTTATAAAGAAACAACTTAAGCAGCTTGAACATAAAGATAATGTTGTAATCGGGCCTATAAAAAGAAAATTGATTTTCACGTTTTTAATGATATGCTGTCTAGAAGAGAAAAACTTGAAAATCTCTGATAGACAATTTTTACAAGACCTAAACCAGAATGAAAACTAATTAAAATTTCCATTACAGACATCTATATGCAAAAATGTACTTTTCTGCTTAATCTTCTCGTGCTTTATAAACAGGCCTTGGTGTAAGTTGGTTTATATAAGTTTTTTACGCCCTAAGTTTGTTTTTTTGTTAATGCGCGTTGTTTTTGTGATTATTACATTTTCTGTTTTTGGAATGTAATATCTGATACAAAGTTATTCTTGTTTAGCATTTGTCTGACATTGGAAGTAATTACAACAATAAACTCTTTTTATAAAGCTTTTCCATTCTTGTAGTAGCATTGGAAATGAATTTGTGAGAAACAGCATATCCCAACTGTCATAGTAACAATTTTCTCCATTTTCTAATAGATTTCTGGCTTTTGGTAAGGAAGGAAGTTTTGAGTTATATAGATAAATTAATAGGTATATGATTATTGTCTGATAGTTCAGTGTATGTCTTTTTTCAGAGGGACGAGTTTAGAAGAGGCAGCTTCAAAATTGATCGGTAAGGGCAAAGGCAAAAAACGGCACCACTCAGATTCTACTGATCAAAATTTTGGCGTTTTTATCCTAAAGATTCTTCAGGTACGAATTTCAGGCGTCTGCTGTTATTTTTACTAGTTGGCGGCTTACAGCCTCTCTGTTAGAAGCACTTAGGTTAATGTATTCCTTATAATTATAAAGAGAAATTCACAAATGTCAAAATCAGTCGAAACCAGCACCAGCATCAATTTAAATCTCGAGCCAGCCATAAAGGCTCTGGATTTTACAGAACATAGTATTTTTGCTATTTATGGTACCAGCCTATGTTGGCACCATCATTTTGGGACATTTGTCAAAGTTTGAATACAATTCGAAAATTTTACAACAAATCGATTGACTAATTTGTACTTAAGTAAATTGTTTATCATTTGTTATCAAAGTGCTCCTGTATCATTTACGTAATGTTATTGCTGTTGCTCCCTCCAACGACTATTGACCGATTCTGCTAAGCATCCTATGAATAAATTATTTCAAAGATATATCATAAATTGAAGCAACTTTCTCGAGAGTCCCAAAAGGTACTAACCTTGGAGCAAATTCAAGGACATTTTCTAACAAAATGGTCTCTGATATGTATTGTTCTGATATATAAGGGTAGACTGGCCTATTCACAAATTACGGTTTAAATATTGTTTTTCACTGCATAAAATAACATATTGCAATATATATATATATATATACCAAGTTGTTGATCCAATCAGAAACGCGACAAATGACTGTTGAGGTTGCCCAATCAGTGCCGCTTGCCTATAGAGAATGTTACCAATGGAGTATTGAGGTGGAAACGAACCTGTGTCAGACGAAAAGCTTTAGTTTACTCAAATGTTTGATTTTTTCAAAGCCATTTTAAAATTTTGTACCACTAAAAGATTGGTAACATATTGCGTTGCCTTTCATTGCAGCATTCTCGTATTTAGGACCGGCAACAAATAAAACTGTGGATTCTTTCCGCCATGCGTTTATCTTGTGTTATTTATTGACAGAATCAACTGGAAATGTGTTCAGAAATCATCAGTCTTGGAATGGGATCTTCTATATCGAACAGCCATCTAACGGAATTCATTGAACACCTTTCCTGTCACGGTCAGAGAATGTTTAGCTCTTGTTATGCTGTTGTTATTCATATAAACAAACTCATCTAACTGATCAGCTCAGACACGTACAAACCAAATTCTTCCCAGTTTAAAAAGAAATTATTTTATTTTGCTATAAAACAAATTCAAGTGAATACTTCTGCCGAAATCCGAGTATTGTTTTGTTATTTTCAAAGTCGATAACGAAATTGTAGGTATTGCTCAAAGCTAGGTACTATAAGACTTTATAAGATGATGAAGCTACATTGCAATGTAATTTTCCACTTAGCTTTATTCGTCACAGAGCCTCTACAGTCCTGGACAAAGCTGTTAAGACAAGTGCTTTAACGCAAAATGAATGGATAACATTAATATATACCACAACATCCAACACCATTCCCCTCTCCTCATTTATTCGAAATTGGGGCATATGCATTTTGATGGCAGCGGTATAGAAACTGACCTGACTCGAGTGGTTGGGGGATTGTGCAAAATCCGAACATCGTGATTCCTGGACTGTAGGTTGATATGCTAAGTCCCGGGGGTTTTGCACCTCAATGTTTATATGTCAATTCCTTTTTGGTAGGTTCATCCATCTACATTGTTCCGGACATGATGCGGACTGCGTGCGATATAACAGAAACAAGATCACTCAACCGGGATCAAGGTTGATGCTGTTATTTAGCGTATTTGCTGTTTATTGAGACTTCCACTGTAGATTGAATTTTATTGCCCTACCCTCTAATATCATCAGAGGTTAAAGTCGAATTGTTCACTTCTTTACAAGTGTATATATAGATTTTCTAATGATTTTCAACCACCCAATCTCATCCTAGTCGCTATCCTTATTCATTTTTCCAGAAGCTTAAATTGTGAACCGTTCATGACAATGTTTAAAAAACAAACGCCAGAATTGTGATCATACTCAATTTCTGCCAGTTTATTCTGATCCAGACAAAAAGAGTTAGAGGGCAGGGGAGACAGAATTTCCAAGACCCCAAACTGAAAACGGCCCTAAAGAATTAAAATAAATTTCCTAACAATAACCACAGCAATAAAAACCACAGTTTTAATGACGTCATCAGAGGCCGTATTTTTTTTTTTGGCCGCATGCTCTAGAAAAGTTCTCGGCGCTGCTGTTTGATTCTGTAAAGTTTTAATTACTTTACGCGTGTACATTCTGTTTCAGGTTCAGATGAGCCAGAGCTCGTTCGTAGAATTGTGAAAGCCTGCTTTGAAAGCATCTCGAAAGCCAAGATTCATTCAAGTAGAGAATGTGCTACTCAAGTAGGCTTTTGTGTTACAATAATTGAGATTCTTTTCGCACAATATGAGCAGCTCTGTGTCCCTATTAACCAGACTAGGGTTTGATCGCATCTCCCTTATGAGATGCCGTTTACTTTTCACAATCCAGGACGAATTTTTTGAAAAGTATGCTATTTGAATGATTCTATCGGGAAAGCACGCAAAAACAGTAAAAAAAACTAATTCAAGTATCACTAGCTTCAGAAAAGCATCACGTCTGTAAAACCGTGAAAATGAGGTAAATTGTTGAGTGCTTTAGAACCAAGAGACATGAAACCATAAGTGTATGAACTTTATACATATCACAAGTCTACTCAGAAACTGCATTAATATGGATAATAGGTAATAACTTATAAGCTAATTATATTAAAATTGACTTTCCATATTAGAATACAACAAGGAGTTTTTCTGTTTCTGCTAATACTTATTTCATGTTATTTGATAAAAGTCAACCATTACAGTTTAGAGAAAGTGGAACTCGAAGTGCATTTGTAAGTGTACAATGTTTCATAGTTTTTACTTTCAACTACTCAATAACGATCGTATATTTCTCAAATTTCAGGTGTTGGCATCCATTAAACGAGATTTCACAGAAATACTAAAAAACTGTTTCTGTAGCCAGTCAGTTGTGCCAACTTCAAGCCCTACAATAATAAAAGAGATCTGGCTCTTGATTGTTAATGACGTCATTCATCATCTTGAAAATGTAAGGGTCCATCGAATTTGATTCGGTGCATTTTTAATAATTACGTCTGTAGGCTGCCCGCCCACCACAACGTTTCAATATAGAAGCTCAAATTCTATTTATTTTTGTATTTTCATTAAATAAAGATGCGGATGCCACAAACAGTTAATAGAAACCTGTGCAGCAAATCACCCGCACATTGTTTGTTCTGTTAAGTAAGTTGATTTTCGTCTGTTAACGCGTGTTTTCGTTTGTTAGAATGAAGATCTGGTACGGTTCAGTAATGTTAATGAATTGCCACTAGTTGCGTCCTTTATTGTCAATGCTGTCACCAGATCAAAACAGCTGCAAAGGTATAAACAAAATTTCTTAACTTTAACGCATTATGATTCATTGAAAGACTTTTTCCGGCCATGTAATTCTCCATTTACTGTTTTGATATTCAAAGCACCTTCTTTCAATTTACATATACCCTCGTAACAAATAGCGCGAGTTTTATGTTGTGGTCTTTTGGTCGTTAAATGCAAATGTTGCACATAGCAAATGTTGCGCTAGGATGTAGAATGTTAAATGCTAGCCACCCTCAAGGTGGTTTAATACTGATTCTTTTAGTATTAGAGTCCCTATGTTTCATTGTGACAATTTATTGAAATTCTAGCCGTCAAGTTTTTCAAATTGAGTAGTTGCGTTAAGTCAACTGTTTTGGTCAAAGTTGAGATCGATTTGCCGATGGCGTTTCTTTTAAAAGATTTTGGGGACACTACTCCCATCCCTTTTAGTGACATTCCATAGGCCAACACCTGCATTATATTGATAATGGAAACAAATTTCAGTAGCTAGAAATCAGATTAACCCCCTCTTTATTTGCTTGCTTTATTCAACAAACCGTTAAAGGCTTCTAATGATGATACCCAATTTGCTACAGGGCTTTGTTTGAAGAGCTACTTTGTTATGTCAATGAAGATCAGTTAACAGACCAAATGAAGACATCAGCAGTTGTTATCTTACTCGATGTTCTCATCTGTTCTGGTAAGGTGCTAACTCGAACAAATCTAATCATTCAATTTAAGTTTCGACTTATACGAGTTTTGCGGTAGCACATTGGTCAATTATCTTGTTGTTAATAGCCTGTTCCACACAGTCCACAAATGCTGCCACATTTATGGAATTTGCAATTTTGATAAATTTCCTGTCCGCAGTTTCCACCAGCATCTGGTGGTAATTTATGCAACTCTCTAACATTATGCAGTTAGCTTTAAACTCATCATGCACCATCCTATCTACGCCCTGTTTGATTTCAGTGCTTATTTCTTCTAGGATTTTTCACGCAAGATTTCAATGGTTTCATTGCATAAATTATTTTCATAAACTAGACCCAGCTTTCTGCCTGGAAGGGATATTTATCAATATGGCACAGTTAATAGATGTGCCAGCATTTGTGGACTAGGGCGCATGCTAGTTGTAGATGATTAAATTGTAGCTCTCCTTTTTATTATCTGTTTATGTATTAATTAAGTCTCTACCAAATCCAGGTTGCTGCTTACTAATATCAATGTGATATTTTAGTATGAAAGTTCTCTTTGGTTTCTATATTGTCATAAACTTTTGTTAAAACTACATAATAACCCCGATGAATGAAACATTTTCGTACCACAGGATCCCACATGAATGACGAATTCTTGCAAAGAGCAGTTGTTGATCTTAAGCGACTTCAATCTAAAGTGTAAGTTTTTTTCTTTTGGAACAGTCATCATCTCATTTTGTCTTCGACTTTCCCTGCCTTAAAGCTTGGCTAATTTTGTCAGGACACTTCCACGTGAACAGTAAATCGATATCACCACTAGCTGAAACCCTTTATCCCACCTTCCTTTAACCTTCCGCCCTCTCCTTGCCCGCCTAAACCTACACTGTTCTGTTACTCTTCAATTCTGCAAAAAAATTAGTCCCTCAAGCCCAATTTTGTTAGTAGATTCACATTAAATGCCATATTTGCAGATGATTTATTCTATCTATTTTCAACGATTTACATAGGTTATTTTAATAAAGAGAAGCTTGCCAAACAGAAGTGAACACAAATTGTTCATCGCTTTATCAAGCTTCCGTTGTGTTTAAGAGATTCAGCAGGCTATAAAGATATTCATCTAAACAGGGATGCAGTTTTTGCTATTCATCTAAACAGGGATGCAGTTTTTGAATTTTCATTTACTCTTGCCGGCGTTCTTGAGACGAAAGTTTTGTTATTTATTTCAGCTCCATGTCTACTGGTGCATCTGACTTGTTATCTGAAATGGTAAGCAAAACAGCTGAATGTTGAGACTAAGAATCATACCTCATACAGCTATTCTTGTACCAAACATGCGATTGACTAAATAAACATCCTTTGAATCATATCATTGACTTGTATCATTGACTAATCAGTATAATACTTCGTCGTGGAGTTACTTGCTTAAAAGTTGCGTTTTGTTGTGTTTTTTCCTCGATGCCTTCTTCATTTGCGATACTTCTTGATTGCCTCGTTTTATCGGTTCTTGCAGTTATTTATTTTTTTTGTTTAAGAAGTATTTATGGCATGGCAGTGTCTATTTAAGATGCTAAAAGAACAGAAATCATTTGACTGCAAGTTTCAATTGATAAGAATAAAGTTTTTTGATCCATTGAACGAGAAACTCCACCCAACATTGAAAACAAAGTTTGAAGTCAGATTTTTATTTATAAAACAGACATAATCATCTTTCTGATTTAATTTGATAGACCAACCACATAGGTTTAATTATGCCTACTTGATCATTCAGAACTTCTGTGGCACATTCACAACTGTAGAAACTCGATTTTCATGGTTCTATTGCTTGCCATGTCCGGAAAATGCACTAAGCGCTAAAACAATTACTTAAACATTAACTTTGGGCGTTAGGGATCAAACTTGAAGATGTAATTACAGTATAATATATTATATTATTAATTTTGTTTGGTGTTTTGCTTGATTAAATCATGATTCAAACATGATTCAAACAGATATTGAAGATGAAATCTAGTAAGTAAGCTTTGCTCCGTATGTTACAAGACATTTGATAAGAACTTGTGATAACTCCTTTACCATAGCTCGAACTCGCAAATGAAACTCAGTTTTAATATTTCTTACCCCCTCCCCCCCCTCCTTTTGTTGCCAAAAGTTGCTATAACTGTTAGCGACAACTAAACGGAAAATGTGTTTGTTAACAACACGGTCAAGGTTTATTACATATTCTAAGTTAGTACAGATTTACTGTTACGTCTATTTCAACGACTTTTTCTCCTATTGACTCGATTGCCTTCTGCGCTTCCTCGCAGGCTTGTGAAAATTGAGCACAAATCTGATTCGCTTAAAACATATTTCATTTTTGTTATGCTACAGCAGATTGATACTGTGGAAAGTAGGGAGCTTTCCTGACAAAAGTTTGGTTAAATCTTTAATGCGGCAACAGACTTGGCGTTGTCACAGGGATAAGGAGAAATCGACTCCAAAAGATTGAGTAACAACTCACGACTGTATAAAATAAAGTCTCTACATTCGGAATCCAAGATATCTCCTTGTAAAATCGAATGTGATGTGTTAATGTAAATAGTTTTGGGACGATTACGTAAAGGATGATTGAAGGGTTACTGGTTTCTGAATTGAAGGTTCAGACTGTGTCATCATCGGTGAAACTACAAAGCTGTTTCTTGATGTAAACAGTTCTTTGCATCAAACGTATCTTGGCACCTCCCATTTTCTACTGAACAGATCATCAAGCGAAGATAAAATTGAGTGCAATTTGATCAAGACCAGCTATTTCTCAATAAAGATTTTGTCATTCTGCTTGTGACGAATGTGCTCGTGATAATTATTATGTAATTCACCTGATCAATTTTCATCGAAATTTTTGATGTGGCAAGTTTCATTGCTAATTTGATGTGGCAAATCATGATATTACAATTATGTCTACTTTTTTATAAGAAGACTACAATTTCAAACCCCACAAGGAAAATGTTTTCTTGCTTCTTATCGATGAAATTACAGTTTTTTAGGAATAACTCCATTTTGAAAAGCAAAGCTTTGGAATCCTTTGAATGATAAATGTCTTCCCGGGTTTTTTCTCTCGCTGTGTTGAGATTTGCTGGATATTGAAATTTTCCTTTCGTTTTCATGTGGTTTTCCGTCTGGAAATTTGAAGTGAATCGATTCAGTCCAAGTGTCTACTAAGTCTATTATTGATCACAGAGAATCAATAATTTCGGTCCAACAACGTACAAACATACGTATGTCATTCCCTGGCAAAATTTCAATCAGGGTTGAAATAGCTGTTCAAAAACCACCCCGTGTCGAGGTTTCGCATATAAGCTGAGGCACCATGAAATAAAACATCCTTCTACACTTTTTTTAATAAGAACTAGTAAATTTAACTTCAGGCTGATTGTTTTTAATTCTTTCGAAAATCTGAGGCTGGATTGTTCATAATTTGTTCTTGAATTAATAGGGTGTAAGCACTATGATTGCTAGCTTTTTCGCTCTAGGGAGGTGTTCAGGCCTCATTTGCCAACAAAGTATGTGAGACAACCTTGATTTACCGCCATGTCTGAATATTCACCGAAGAAGCACCCACACATGGCTAAAAATCCTCGTTTTTGAGATAAAACGTTGTCCAAAATTGCATTTTACAGTAGCTCAGCCTCAGCTTGTTCTTGATTTGTTCTTAACTTTTGACCAATTTCGAGGCTCGTGTTATTTTAAAATTGTTCTTATAAAAAAAGAATGTAGTGGTCGGATTTAGGTTGACTTTTCTCCTATGAAGGGTTTTAAGCCTTCAGGCAAGATTTCAACCTGCATCAGGCAAGATTTCAACCTGCATCAGGCAAGATTAGCAAAACCCTTGACAACATCCAATTTTGAATCTTTGAAAGCTTCTTTGTTTAGTTAGTCACTAGGGAGCGTGCTTTACTTGCGAACTCAAAACGAAACATCCCCTTCAAAGAAAACTTGTTTTGAGCCGTGTGTCTCTCTTGATGATTGATCCAATGCTTATTTTGTCCCCTCGAGATCTTGCAAATACTGCCAAAGGATGTATTGTGATTGCCATGTGCATGGGGCACCACACACCTTTCGTTGAAGCCAGGAGATGGACAGTTCATTTGCACGTTGTAAGTACATCGAAATTGGAACTTCATTGCCATTTTCTTTAGTAAACTGTTTCTTTTGCTCAATATATTTGCAATAAAAGGCTGCTTTGCGTCTTAAACAGTGCCTCAACCATGAAGCAACATCTTCAAAAATCTTACCCCAAAAAAACACGCGTCTGAAATTCAAATAAATTTTAAAACCTTAACCACTGAATGTTATATTTAAGTTGTTTTCGAACGTTTCCTCAGTCTATTTGCCAATTATACTGTTTGGCCTTCTTTGTAATGTTTCTTCATAATGAAGGAAATTGCGGCGGTGAAGGGGGCGACCGCCCCCAGGTTTTGGTCAATCGGTTTTGTCAGTAAAATTATGTCATTTGTCGGCAAATTCGTTGCTTTTGTGGGCATTGCAAAAAGGTTGGAAAAAAGGGAACAATCTACATAAACGACCTCGAGTCATGAGTGATTTTTAAACTCTCTTTCAAACGTACATTAAAAGGTAGTAACAATTTCTCATCTGCTTTCCGAAAATTAGATTGCTTTTTGCGTAAGTTCTGTTGTTTACTCATGTTTGACGACTATAAAGTTCTTGAAAAACCTATCCTCATCAGTTGTGTGGAGTTAAACAAATAGATTAATGTTGATATTGATAATGGCAATGATAATAATATTTTTGATAATATTGATGTTGATATGGACATTGACGTATAAGAATAATGATATTGATAATGATGATGATATTGATGTTTATAATGATACTGATATGGATTTTTTTTAATCAATGACATTGCAAATGACATAACGTTTATAATGGTATTGATATTTATAATAATTTTGATATAGATATTGATTTTGATATTGTTATTGATAATGACATAGACATTGACATAGTATTCATAATGATATTGGTTAGGATATTGAAAATGATAATGATGTTGATATTGATGTGAATGTTGATATTGATCATGGTTATGATAATGATACTGATATTGGCAATGTTATTGGTATTGGCATTGATGACATCAATGTAGGTATGATTTCGTTGAGGGTACTGCAATATTAGAAACAGCTGTTTAGACAAACGCCCAAACACCTGCCAAGAAGTTTGCAGAAATAACACAAATCAGTTTGCCATAATCAATGCTGGGATGTTGGTGTTAACAGAGACATCAACATCGGGTAAAATATCTAGTTCTTAAGTACGATGAAATGACCAGCAAGTTAGCTCATACTATTGTTGATTTTAATGATCGATTTTTAATTGATGTTAGCTCACAGTAAATAATATTCGTAATCTTATTATAATTGTAAGATTTGCAAAATTCGATCTACAACAAAAAAGAATCTGTAAGCTTACAAAGCTCTTATAACATCGCTTGTAAGCTTACAATTCATATATAAGCTTATGCTTTAGCGGCCCTTTTTACGCTGGTCTTTAATCAATGATGTTTATCAAGGCGAATAATGAGCGAAAATATAAAATACGCAATACATTGCAACCCTTTTTGATTAGATTTTTAAAACCGTTTTATTTACAATGGGTTTTCAACATTGTATTATAGTGTCGTAGAATTACGATTTTTCCCGGACAAAAATAATAAAAAGCTGTAACTTGGCACATAGGTTCCATACGATACTAGTAATAACCAGAAAAAAGCCCCATCAATTGGACATTGGAAATTCCTTATTTGGGCAAATCCCATATGGCGCATTGATCAGCAGGGGTTCAAATTTTGATGTCGCTAAAACCACATTACATGTACATATTCTGAAGACAGTTTCATGCTGAACAACTTTTATTCAACATACACGCCCTTACAATGTGGAAATAAGTACTTTCTGGTCAAAAATAGCAGATAACTGGGCAATAGAATGTATACAGTAGTGGCGCCAGGGGAGGGCTAGGGCGCTACAGTCCCTTCCTTCGGAAGCATCTAGCCCCCCCTATCGGAAGAAAATTTTAGGTTATTGTCGGAGCAAATGTGACAAAATAACGTACGAAAACTGCATATCATAGTCAATTTAGCCCCCCTGTTGGAAGCTCCAACTCCTCTGTCGGAAGATTTCTGGCGCCACCTCTGAATGTATATTAGTTTATTTATGAACAACTTATATATTAACAAGATCAAAACATGTGATGATGAAATCCTATTCAACAAAGAGCAGGTTAAGAATCCCGCTAAACATTGTGAAATTTCTGCAATCCGTGTATTGTTTTGAGAAATTATGCGTCCGGCAAATGTGTAGATTTCCCTCGTTCCATTCCGAATATTTCTGGCCCAGCATCAAGCTGTAGTTTTGTGCAGCCACTTTGAATTTGCACTGAATTTGGCAGTGTTTTTTACGTCTTAGTAACAAAAATTACTAAGATGGAGGATGTCAATAAAAAAAGTTGAAAAACTGTCAGAGTTTGAAATCTTCATCTTTAAATTAGTTTATAATGAAAAAATAATGTTATTTGGACCATTCGGTCGCGAGTTACTTTGTTTTGAATATTTAGATATTTCTTTAGATTTGAAAGGAATTTGCTGCTGCAGTGAAAAAATTTCACTAGAGTCAGCCCGGGCTGAGTTGGCCCGGGTTGAGTCAGACCAGGCTGAGTGGGCCCGGGTTGAGTCAGCCCGGGCTGAGTGGGCCTGGGTTGAGTCAGCCCGGGCTGAGTGGGCCCGGTCTAAGTCAGCCCGAGCTGAGTGGGCCCGTTTTAAGTCAGCCCGAGCTGAGTGGGCCCGTTTTAAGTCAGCCCGGGCTGAGTGGGCCCGGTTTAAGTCAGCCTGGGCTGAGTGGGTATTATCATACTTTATCTTATTCACACACTTAATGATTTTGCATCGATAGAATTTGCGATGTAAAATGAAAATATTCAGCCATTTTTTCCGCGCGCTTCTCAATATTCACTCGTCCCACTTTGTTTCTGCCCAATCACCACTAAATTTGCATATTCTAAGGGTACACATGTTAAATAAAAGTTATTCAGCATGAAATTATATTTCAAAAGATGTACATACTATGTGGTTTTAGCAACATTAAAATTTTGAACCACTACTGATCAGTGCGCCATTATGGTATTTGCCCAAATAAGGAATTCCCAATTGATGAGGCTTTTTTCTGATCATTTCCAACTTAGTATAGAACATCTGTGCCAAATTACACCTGTATATTATTTTTATCCGGTTAGACCGTTTTTATATCTAATTCCACTACACTATTATCATACTTTTTAAATGGTAGCAAAATGTCAATTTTTGTTCAAAACTAAGCTATTCACTGAACTCTTAATACAAAAAAGATTTATATTATTTTTGATACTTGCATTAGAGATCTTTTGTTATGGTCCGAAGAATCTCACAAAAAGCTTTTTGATATAATACTAATTTGCTACCGACCCTACGCTAACAATTTTGTGTGTACGACGAAGCAAGCAGGTGAAGGTGATTTATGTCCTATTTCTTCCCGTAAGATTTTTGTAAATGGTACTTACATCCTGGAAAAAAACTTCATTTGGAATGCGACACAATTGTAATTTTTAAATAAATATACAGAAATCAGAGAGGCATAAAACATTTCTGTGACCCGCAGTAGGCCAAGGTTGTAGAAGTAGGCCAAAGGAAATTTCCTTCAGTTATTTGGCTCAAAAATGCCGAATATAATAAAATGATGATTCTTTAATCATTTGTGAAATCAGGGAAAAGAATCCATGTAACCTTTTTGCTGGATTCCTTTCTCATTCGGAACAAAATGTTTCCCTTTTTTCGAGTAACTTCATTGTTTCAATTTTCTAATCTGCAGGTTTTTTAGTAAACAGCAGATCGCAAAATATCTCAAATAGACAGAGAGCTAGTTTTTTAGAAATGTTGCTAGTATTGTCTTGAATGCTAACAATATCAGATTTTGTTGTATTGAATTACTCTAAATTTTGAAAAAAAGAAATTTTTTGCTTTTGGATAAACCTCTGACTTAAATGAATTTTATTCACGTAATATTTTCTTATTCATGCTTGTAATCTCTTTCCATATGTCGGTCTATTTTTACTGGTCGAAGATAAAAGATTAAAGAATCCGAAAATACACGCATTTTGTTTCATGAGAAGCCATCTATGACAAAAAATGAAGAAGACATAGAACTGGTCAACCTAAAGAAAATGCTGTTATGTGTTAATATTATATTGTTCTTTGTTGCTTGTAAGCGTTTGATTCAAAGCATTTTGAAGATGGTTCAATGACATGTATTTTTGTAAAAATAGCTCGCTAGCAAATTTGTATGGTAGAAATCTTTAGGGGTCTTTAAATGCGAAGATCAACATGAAAATTGAAAAACCAAGTACCGATCTCGAGCTTTGTTTCTTAGAAAAATATGCATATTGGGTCATTTGCCCGTGAAGCATTTTGATTAGCAGCTGATATTTTCTTCTTATAATGGACACCGTTGTGAAGTGTCTCGATTCCCATTTCAGGTGTCTTCTAAATTACTGTTCAGTTCATGGAGCCT